TGCTCGGCGGCGGAATCACCGCGGCGGGCGGGGAGAGCGGTACGTTCCCAGTCCGAGCGCTTCGCTGCTTTTGACTCCGATGCGCCCGCGCCGTCCTGTTCCCTCTTCCCGTCGTGATTGCGCTTGCTCCCTTCGGAGCAAGTTTCCTCAATAATATGTCGCTCACTTGGATCTAACTGGTGATGAATAAGACATTTCCCAAGCATGTTTTAAACGCAGAGAGATGTTTTTTTGAGAAATTTAAATACGTAACTCAAAAAATTCTAAACGCTGTAGAGTAACGACTGGATATGGCTCAAATAAGTGGCAAATAATCATAAATAAGAGAGAATGAAATGAAACCATTGTTTTTCAAGATTTTCCATCAGATTTCATCCTAAAAATAGAGTAAATTGAGGTTCGCGAGGATCTAAATTTTAACAATTTTCTAAGGCTTTCTCGAGGCGAAGGGGGCTGTAGGCTACGTTAAACTACCACCACCACCCCCTAGATCGCTAGAGCTTGCACGGGGGGGAGGGGGGTATATTTCTAAACTTTTAGTATCAGAGTGAAAAGAAGTTATTCAAAGAGAGATATCACTAGTTCGGGTTGAAAATGCACGTTGAATTTTTGATACTTGATGGTATGGTATGTTCATCGAAAATCCCATTTTTGACCTTACTTATTGTTCACATCAATAGGTACGCGATTTTTCAGCCCCATCTCACTCCCTTAAGACTGCACTTTTCCCCTCCCACCACTTTTCGAGTCATTTTGATACCATCTCTACTTACTTACCCTTTTCCACCCTTAGATGCCTTTTATTATTCAAGGAAAACTCTTTTTCAGCCCTTTTCTACTACTAGACCCAATGAGAGTCGGCTGAGAAGAGCACAATCCCAGGAAGCAGTGCTTTGGAGACTCGTGGGTAAGGTAACTCTTAAACCAATGCAAAAGGGCGGACACATATGTATAAGTGTATAACAAACACTTTCATTAAAAAGTATTGATAGAACATGTATAGTATATAGGTAATACTTAATATGTAGGTACTCTCCATCAATATGTCTATTTGTGTGAGCTAGAATGAAAACAGCTTTTTTCCAACCCCAACCAACAACTCATAAACTCCACGAATGATACATTTCGGTCAAACGAGCAAAAGTAAGGCCAAAATTGACTTCTACGATGGAAATACTGTAAGTTTATCAAGTTTTAGATTGAAATTCCAACTGATCGTTTCAGTGGCGTGGCGTCCATAGGTTCGCAGTGTTCGCCGAAAACCCTAAAATATTTTGGAACAATTAATAAATTATGGTTAAGGATGTGGGAAACAATACATACAGAATAGTTGACAGCAAATAATTAACGGGCCGGGCGCTTGGCTTCCGACAGCGGCATGCGGAACGGAAAGAGAAAATCCTGCGGCACGCACGGGGTTCACACGACCGGAAACCGGACCCGGATTTGAGCGAGAGGGGGACGGGCGGGGGAGCTGCCCGTTGCGCCGCGCGGCGCGGGGGGCAGAGCGTCTGTCGAAGGAGGGGAGGGAGAGAGATACAGGAATGTGAGTCGGAAATATAAGGAGTGGGGGTAAGTTGAGCTCGTAGCCTGCCGGCAAGGCGAAACTATCAACGGCTCCCCAGCCCCAGCGGGCCAGCGCTGAGCGGCGCGGCGCGAGGAAGAACCTCCTATCTCCCATGCATTAGTATAGGGAGAAACAACTTTTCTCTCTTTTGGGCTTCAGCGGCGTTATTTTCGAAATTTGACTTTCCAGATTTGTAAAGGTGGTTCTTAGCTTTATTCTTGCCAAGTGTGAGGGAAATCGCTCCGACAGTTCTTTTTTTTTGTAAACAATCGGAAAATCTCGTTTTTGAAATCTCGGTAAGTAAAGTGTCGCTTTTAATATATAATTTTTCAAACATGTTTAGCGTAGGTAAGCTATTGACTATCGACGGTGTAAGTCGGCAATCACATAACTCGGTTTGCGACGTAGCAGACTTCCGGTCTTACTTTATTTTTTCAACGGAAAACCACATCTTGCCAAGAGGTCTAGCCTCGTGCGGCAAAAGTATTTCTGCAAAAACTTCAAGGAATGATGTCAATTTGTTCTCCTTTAAAAAAATAACAAAGAGGCTGAGATTTTCAGACACCGCAAACGAGTTATGTGTTTGCCGACTTACACCGTCGCTATTTCAAAGGACCCCGTACACCTCTTATGGGAAGCTGCACCACGAGGAATTGCCTTCTGACTTATATCATTGGATTCTCCTCAAGATATTGTAATATTCTGGTGCTGGGCCAGTGTACGTAGGTGTACCGTGGTGGTACCGAATATGGGTATGATGAATGAACGAAAAGACAACTCCAGGTATCGTGGGTACAAACTATGTATAAGTCGATAGGCGTACAGTGAGGTGACAACAAATCTAACTGCTATGTGACTATGTCAGGAGGTCGCGATCCCGGCGCGGCGTGGTGGCCCTAGCGATGCCAAAATCAGAGTGTCGGTCTACCGTCTCCTGGTTGTTGTTCAAGGGGATGATCATGATGAAGGGAAAGCCGGGAAAGAAACAGGTAGGGAATCATCCGTGCCAGGCGGTACCGGGCTAACGGGAGTTCCCGAGGTCGCGGAATCGCGGACAAGGGAGGTGCCTGGCGCGGGGTTGAGAGGATGAAAAGGAGAGACAGGCGCCAGGCTGGTATAGATAGATATAGGCATGTTGGGGCACACAACAATATGCTGATCAAAAGTTATAATTGCGCCAACTTTCTACGATGCACCGTTTTCGCAAAAAAGCTAAGTGAAGATTCAATTATTCGGCGACTAACAATAAGAATAAAAAAGAACAAAGCATTTGAGAACAGGCCCGATGTAAATAAGGAAAAAACGTACCTATAGCGCGTGTCCGTCTTCTTATCTGTACCTGCCGACACTATAGGGCTATCCCCCTCCTCCAGCTCTCGATGCGTCCGTTTGACGCTCATTTTCCTGTTCATATGCTCCTCACGATGGGTGGTCGAGGAAAACGGCGTGCGGAATCCGAGATAAGACTGCCGGTCGGTGCGGGAGTTCCCCTGATTTGTTCACTCGAGCACTGAAATGAGGAATCTTTCTGGCTTTTTATCACCAAATAATTGAATCTTCACTTAGCTTTTTTGCGAAAACGGTGCATCGTAGAAAGTTGGCGCAATTATAACTTTTGATCAGCATCTTGAGGAGAATCCAATGATATAAGTCAGAAGGCAATTCCTCGTGGTGCAGCTTCCCATAAGAGGTGTGCGGGGTCCTTTTAAATGATGGAAAGCTTCTTTGCTTGTTTGATAATGTAAAAGGAGCGCTGAGTCTAGTCATGTGTTTTTGTTCCTGTGCTTGAATCGATTGATGTAATGTTTAATAATGGACGCAAGAAATAGCAGCTGATCTGAGACTTAATCGTAAAGTGTGAGTACTTTCGTTTTAATTTTTGATCATTTCCTTTGAACTTTTAAGTTATTGAATGCTGCCATGATCTGGGATTGATAGTATAGGTATAGACAAAACAAAGCATTCAAAGGCGCAATGACAGAGTTTCATTATGAGCCATTGTTCACCATTTTTGTGTATTATACATACTAGCTGTTAATACAATGGCCATTGCTAATGAATGAGATATTTGTTATTTGTTGAATTCACGGTCTGCAATTCCGCATGCTACTTCTATGCACACATGGGTCTGCCTCTCAAACTGCTCAAGTATCGGAGGGAAAATTTTCAATGTTTCGTACAGCCTTCTTTTGCCTCTCAGCCAATTTTTTCAGCAAATTTTTTTTTAGTTGTGTCAACGAAAGTAAGGTCAAAAATGAATTCTACGATCAAAAGTCTCTAAGAATCCCGAGTTTCAACACGAAAAACCCACAAGAACGAGTACAATTTATTTTTGAGTAACTTATAACCGGGCCGGGCATTCTTATTATAATACGCTTCGCTCCATCGTGAGCCGAGCCGGCGCGATAAGGGTGTCACTGCCGAGGGGTGATTTCTTGAATTGATTTCGTGAAATTACTTTTTCGAAATTTTCGTATAATGAACCGATAGGAAATTTTAAGGCCGTTATTATGGGTCCAGTGGCATTTTCCTCTAAGATTGAAAGTTTAAAAGTAAAATGACGAGAAAGGTCGCTGATCATAAGAATTTTTGCCGGCGCCCTTTTTAAAACCCTTATTTTTGGTCACGAAAATTATTTTTTTGAAAATTTTGTGTAATTAACCGAAAGGAAATTTTTTGGCCGTTATTTCGGGTCCTATGACATTTTCCTCTAAGATTGAAAGTTTAAAAGTAAAATGAGGAGAAAGGTCGCTGATCATAAGAATTTTTGCCTGCGCCCTTTTTAAAACCCTTATTTTTGGTCACGAAAATTATTTTTTCGAAAATTTTGTGTAATTAACCGAAAGGAAATTTTTTGGCCGTTATTTCGGGTCCTATGACATTTTCCTCTAAGATTGAAAGTTTAAAAGTAAAACGAGGAGGAAGGTCGCCGATCGTAAGAATTCTAGCCGCGGCTTTTCGCCACAGTGAGCCGGTGCGAGAAAAACGGAGTCCAGTGGATGAGGCCAATTTCTTGCCAAACTTCGTGAACGATCGACTATAGCTGTGTCCCCGTAAGAAGCTATGGTAAAGAATCGATAGTGCGATACTCGAATAATCGCATTCGATACGATATTCGATATTCGTCCAGCTGTAGGATTCAACATGGCGGCCATGCATGCTCCTGCCCGCTTTATCACGCCGGTGCCGGTGCCCAAATTCCGGTTCGCTCAATTAATTTTAATTTATTTAATTATTAGCCGTTTAAACTGTCATCTTCTTTGCTCATTTAGAAGTATTTCATCAATTCGAGACGAAGATTGAACCGGAGGGCCAACGAAAATCAAGAAGAAGCCATAGGAATTGCGGAGAAACCGAAATTCTGAGTGGATCTTTAAGTATAGGTATGAGTGTATGATTCGTTTTTCTGGTATTGCTTTCAATCGCCTCTATTTCAACTAAATCAAGGAAGCTTATACTACTGATTCCTCTTTGAGATTGTAGTGATGTTCCCATAACTTACGATGTTACAACACAACAGAATTGTCACAAGACTCCAGTGACGGAACAGGTCTTTTTGTCTGTCCCTGGACTTGTCTTGGAGACTCTACTATGGACCAAGATGTATTAGATGTATCTCTTTATCTCCTCTTATCTTATCTAGTCAATCAATGAATGCAAACCGGTTCTTGAAACTCTGTTTGTACGCCAGGACAAGATGAGGAATGTGTGAGCTTTGTGCCTGTGAGACCTTGATCCCCTTGGCCTGGGTATGCTGACAAGAGTTTCAACAATCGATTCCTGTGCGTGAGACTGAAGCTAACATTAAAGAAGGAACCTCTGAGCATACTGAAGAGTGTTTTACAGGTTTTGTTTCCCAATCCCCTGCAAATAGCAAGAACTGTGAATACTGTTGCTACAACGCTACATCTAATGATCAGCTTAGTTCGGACTTCATTGCCAGGTATTTCCTGCCTGAATTTCCTCCTCAAGAATTGTAACTTCCTCATTCCCCATATGTCCTGTAACTCTCTCCTTCTTTCACTTTCATGTCGTTTAATCTCTGAAGGAAAGAGTTAGTTTGTCTGCATGTGGTCATGCTGTGATAATGAGGCCAATTTCATCATTTTGAAAGCTCACCTAGACCTTCCTGCGAATTGATAGTTTAGCCACTGTTTCACCTGATCGTTTCTCTTTCTTTATTCAATGGACCAGTTGCGTCGGTGACAGAATCATGTTTTGATGCTTGGTTCTAGTAGATCAGCTCTAAATAAGTAGATCCATCCCAACAGCAACTCTCCGCCGGGTTAGGGCCGGGCAGGGAAGTGGCTTTTAAAAAGATGCGCAATGACTGACCTGTGTGGATTGGTCTTGTTTCAATTGTTTCAACTCTAATTTTTTCTTAAATACCTGTTTACTCTGCACTCTAGAGGTGTTGTCAGCCAAGTTGGCACTTGTTTACATTCCACTTGCAAGCAATTGCGACGCTATTGTCCAACATCAATAGGGAATTGACGGCAGCACAGTCAATCCTCGATTCCTGTTGGACGACTACATTATAGTTGCTTGCAAACGATGTGTATTCAAGTGCCAACTTAGCTGACAACACCTCTACCTCAAGTTAGCAGTATTACTTCTGATAGTTTCACACAAGTTTGTTCTACCTCTTGACCTCTTAACTGACGACACCTCTACCTCAAGTTAGCAGTATTACTTCTGATAGTTTTACACAAGTTTGTCCTACCTCTTGAAGGCATGAAGTTATTTGACCAATTTCATCTACTCTCCATCGTCAACCTTCTCTGGTATTGACTCGTGCAACACTCATGAATCTTCATTCTCGGTTCACAGTGTACTCTCCGTTTTAATTGATAGGAGTGGGTATGTAGAGACCTTAAATTAATTCAACAAGAACTAAAGCATTTTGCCTTATACTTTGTATCTTTGTAAACTTTATTTGAGAAGAGTTAAACTCCTGTTTGAGGTAACAACTTCAGTGGTAATCTTACTGTATCACTCTCCGCACTGTACGACTGGCTAAATGATCTGCTATAGACTGTTTACACAAGTAAAAGTAGTCAGCAAAAAATCAATTAGTCTCTTAGTGAGTGGTATTATTTTCGGAAGGTTGCTTTTGCAACAATTAAAAACCTGCTCATCATATTGCAGGTACTTGAAAAAAAGAAGCCCAAAGAATTTTGTTGCCTTCTTCCTAATGTAGATTCCTTCTTTTTATAGATTTAAACACATATCAAAATGGCACCAGAGCCACTGGATATCTCTGAGCATGAGTTGCTCTTCAAAGCAACGGATATCTCTTATCATGAGTTGCTCTTCAAAGCAACCAATTTATCCAAACTGGCCTCCATAGATTTGTCTCAGGTATGAGTTATAAATATTTTTCATCAAGTAAACTCATTTTGTTACTCAATGAGAACTGGAATATAGCTCATATTTTTTCTGTTCTTTTTTTCATACATTTTAGTTCAAAACCTGTCAAAGATCTCTCCTAAAATGTCGCAGGCTCAAGAAATTAATTTCAAATTCGGAGTATTGCATTTTAAATTGACAAGTTCTTTTGAACAAACACTTATAGCTTAAACACAGCTTACAGCTTGTAATAATGACTTAGATTATGCATAGTGATGCATCGTACATAAAGGGAATATGTCCCCTTACTTTTTAGTCCATTGTTTTTTCACCAACATTCTGTAATCTACTTAGCACAACTTTGATATGATTTTTTGAACATTTTGTTTTTACGGACAAAGAATTAAGTTAAAAGTGTGAACGAAGTTATGTTGAAGCTGTACACCAAAGTGAGAAATCATGTATCTCCATCGCAGTGTTTCAAAATTTCTGCTCCTCCCCCCCCTATTTTTGAAGCGGAGCAAGCCAACTAACTTTATGACTATGAAACTTGCGTGGAGTATTCTGCTAATTGTAAGAGTGAAGAAAAATTAAGAAAACTCTCCAGAAGTTATGATGAGGAATTTTCGGAAGAAAACACATAGTATGTCAGGAAGTCTTCAACGTGCAAACAGGGATACCTGGTTTTGCTCTTAGGTCATTGCCATAGTTCTTATACAACAACTTTTCACCACCATATTCCAACATATGAATTACATTTCATCATCAATTGATGTTAAATAGCTAAAATAAAAATATTCACCCTGATTTTCAAGATTAAATTTTCCATTTGACTAGTACATTTTTCACAAAAAAAAAAATCAAACCTCGTGAATGAATGCTCTTCAAAGGAATGTTGGGTTTTAATTTAAAATGAAGGAAATCATTTCAAAACTAATTTTGCACCAGGAGAAATCATAATCATATCTTTGTCAGTCCAACCATTTGTACTATTCAAATTTAAACTGGAGGTTGATACCTAAGTTCTGAATGATAAGATTTACATTCTTCTAATGCATTGTTGTCAAACTTCATTCCCATTATCCAAAGGAGGTTGAAAAAAAAGTGCCCAGCTTTCATTCATGCAGAATTGATGTCCGTCTTGTGCTCCAGATTTTTGCTTTATAATGTTTGCCAAACTGAAGCAGAGAAATTTTTCAAGGTATTAAGTTAAAATTTCGTGTCAGATTTCCAGAAAAAGCCTTCATGGTGACTTATTATTTCTGGAACTCACCATCTCTTGAATTTGCAACCTGGCTGCACAATTATTAATGTTAATTTTTGAAGACACCTCAGAAGAGTGGTCCAGTGTTCCATTTTCTACCTCATGGTTCCATAAGAAAGTGGTTGGTGTGTTGGTGACTGAATATTTAAATTTATTGCAGTCTTCCACAATTTGATAAAAAAAAGCTTTACAGAATAAGGGAAAAGCTTATCAAGGCACTTAAGAGGTGCACCTTAAAAGTCTGCAAGAGAAGCAAAATGTAGGTATTTAGGTATGACAAAGCTGAGAAAAAATGATATATACTTACTTATTTCGCTCACCTGTCAAATACATTTTTCAGTACCTGGAGGCATACATGAGGAATATTAGAAATCTCCACAATAACTCCTCAGCAGTAAAAGAAATGGATTTTGCTGAAGCTGCGATGGTGATTCAGAATTCACTGATTATCTTTGCCAAGAATATCGACTCAATTTGGGCAAGAGCTATGAGCATACGGCTTGCTTTATCTGCTAACATAAAGTAAGTGATCAAAGTATTTTCTCAGGGTCTTAACTCTTTCAATAGGCGCTAGATGAAGATTCTCCATGTACATCCCACAAACCAAGTTAGGAAAAATATACTGGCAAAACATGGCAGTCTGAGGCGCTTTAAGGCCCTCTCTCATGCCTACATGTGTCCGCCGTCTATCATTAATATGATGCAATTGCAGTTCATATCTTCACCAACAGAAAGTATATGAAGCCATATATGCTTAGAAAGCGGATGTCAAGTTGTTAAGCTTTTAAGCTTTGGGAAAATGACGTTCGAAGTTTTCATAGCTGTGCACCTTTGCGTCTGTACAGCAAAAAGGGTTTCGTTAAGAAAATCATTTTAGACAATAGAGCAAATCTTTTTCAAAAAAATGAGCTCCAGGAATTTAAATTTAAAGCAAATTCCATGGAAGGGCTTGGAAAACAAGGGGGCTGAGAGCAGCTTTTGAAAAATTTTAGATATTAATGGTTTAAACTAAAACTAGTCCTAGAATATATTCTGTGAAGAAGCCACTACCAAAATCCAATTTTTAAGCGTCAAAAACTGAGTTAGAACTTTCTCTCTGCAACAAGGCTCCATCCTACTTTGAACTTTTCAAAACCTACTCTTGAAATAGCAAAATCTGCTCTTAGCCCACTTGTCATCCAAAGCCCTCAATTGAGATTTTTAAAAAAATGACCACATCTCCTGTTCTTACGTAAATCTATTTTGAAGACATAAAATTAACTACTTATCTAATGTAAAAAAGGGGAAGTGCTTTTAATTAATCAACGTATGATAACTGTTGAGTTTTTCAATGATTTTTCCAAGGAACTAAGTGTTTGGTAACTTTCAAATTGGACACAAGAGTCAAATTATATTATTGATCTTCTGAAGTAGGGAAAAAATTGGAGAGGGTGCCATCCTACAGACACCTATATGCAACAGTCTTATTTATGTTTATTACTAGGTACTTTAATGTGCTTATTTTCACTATCATCAAGGAGATCAATGAGCTTTGTTAAGATGAACAGCGAATTCCGACGCCCGCTTTTTTTTAGGTATAACATGGTTTCATATTTATATCTTTATAGAAAATTATGCAAGAAGTCTGAAACTTGGCACCAACTGTTGAGGGTTCATAGATTCCATTAAATTGTTCCATTAAAGAGAGATCGCAATGCACAAAATGGTGGATAGGTTGACACGATGGTTCTATTGAAAGGGTTAAATTAAAAACACGGTTTTCTTTGAGAATTTAGTTAAATCCAAGTCATTTTTTGTTACATTTGTCGAGGATACTTGGTAACCTCATATTTATTCTTTTCTACCGAAAAAAAATAACTATGATGAAGACAATGAGGATTGTGATGTTGGAACTGGTGAAGAAGGTGCGAAGCACAAAGAAAAAGCTAAGAAGAAGAAAAAGAGAACATTTAATGTTGAAGATTTTCAACTTCTTCCTTTTCTCAATACTGGTGAGTGTGAGATTGTAGGACATGTAATCCTTTAACCAAAATTTGGAAATACTTCTTGAAACTCCCTTGACTTTAGATCTCTAACAAAGAAAATTTAAAGGTGTATCACAAATTCTAGCCTCTGTCTTCAGGGTTACATAAAGTAAGGGTGCTAAAAATACCTTATCTGCGAATCGCAACAAACAAGGCAAATCTTGGGTTGAGGGGCAACTTGCGGGAGTGATGACCCCTATTTTTCTCTCTTTTTAGCCCTTGCTTATTTTTCGAAAGTCTAGAAAACCTGGAAAGTCAAAGAATATACAGTTATCCAGGAAAGTCAGGAATTTAGGGAACTCCTGGAAAGTATCAGAATATTGCAAATAGCGCATCTGCTTAGCAACTTCAGCTAGTGCCACTCGAGAGAGTGGAAACAATTTTGTAGTGTCCTTTCCTGTCAATTAACTGATCGAATTCTCTATCATTCCATCAGTCAAACTGTCTATTCATTAACCTGTTAGATTAACCAGTCAAATTGTTTTTTGAGCAACCAATCAAATTCTCTGTCAATCAATAAGTTGGATCATCTGTTTCATTGACTAGAAGTCTCTCCATTGACAAGGCAAATCATTTGTCTATGGACCATTCAACTCCTCTTTTGATCTATCAGTTGAATCTTCTTTCGATCGATAAGTCAAATTTTCTATCAATGGAACTTCCGATCCTAATCAATTTACCTTGTTTTTTTATTTTTCAGATAAAAATATTGATATGAAACTAGACAAGAAAGAGGATAAACTAGCAAAGCAATCAGATAAACTTGTCCTCCCCACCTCCTTGAACACCAAAAGTGGTTAATAAATCGAGAGATATTTTCACTTCTGAAGGAGAAGCAGTCTGGAAAATGGATGAATTCAGGTATAGACTATTGTTTTTCCTACAATACCAACTTGTATTATTAATAGTAAATGTGTCTTCTATTTCAGAGCAGCCACTGTTAGTAAAAATATCAGGAAAAATTACGAAAATCGGTCATGAATCAGAAAATTCCGAGTGTGTCAAGCATTCTTCAACTATTTGCCGTTTAGCACATGGAAAAGTGAAACATTTTATTCAGTTCATTACATATGTTGGTTTTTGTAATTAGACAATTATCGATTCATTCAGGTAAAAAATCAGGAAAATCCAAAATGTAATTTTAGCAGATACATTGTTTTCGAAATGTTTTAAAGTCTCACAAAACATTGATCTTCCGATAAATCTGCAGGAAATTGCCAAACTTCATCCAAATACTTCTTTTATTACACATTTTTTTAATTAATCTTCAGGGTTTTCGGCGTTCAAGAAAACCTGAAAAGTCTAAGACTTTGGCAAGTAGCATTGGGATAAAGGGATATTTGGAATGAGAACAATTCTTTTGCAGTGCAGATTCATTTAATAAGAGTGCACGGTTATGAAAAAACTAAAAAGAGCTCAGCTGATATTATACATATTAATTTTTGCTCTCACGGCATTGCCATATTTCAACTCGCCTCCTCAAAAATTAATTCCATTATGAATATATGCCACGGCATTGCCATAATTCAACTAGTAGGGCATCAGCTCAGCAACTGCAGCCGGCATTATTTTTGGAGAGCAGGGACAACTTTCAAGTGCCTTTTTCTATAATTTAAATCTAAGTGGAAATTTCATGCAAAATTTACCAGCAGTCAGTGTAATTCTAAGGGAAAAAATCTAAGATGTAGTTTTGTCCAAAGATCAGGGAAAAACAGGGAATCACAAAATTCTGGAGTCAGGAAAAAGCCAAAAAAGTCAGGCAAATGAAGCAGTTATGAGATCCCTTTCCGCAAAATCATTCAGCCTCGATTTTTAATCTACAATTTTGTGAGAGTTTATCGATGTTTTTATTGACACCTAAACTATGTTAACAAATCCTCTGCTCTTCTCCAGCTCATTTTATTTATTTTTTGAAGAAAGTAATTTTCCCAGATTATTCTGTTCACTGAAAGACTTCGGCGATTTTAAAGAAAGTCACATTCATGAGTTTTCACCTTTCAGCTCCAAATATTTTTCCATCTATTGTCTCAATTTATCGCTCAAGTCTGACACATTAAAATTACCCTGAGTAATCCGTGATTGTTTGTCCTTAGGGTCGATTACCTAGTTCATTTTATTATACTCCACCTCTTTTTTCCCCAGATTATTTTGGCCCATTACGGAAAGCGGTTACCTTCAAGAAGATTATGAACCTGAAGATCGGTGTGTGTTTCCTGAAAGAATCATCAAACACAGTTTTACAGGTACAAAATACATTTTCATCCCTTGAACTGTCGAATCAATCATTATAAAAACAATCTACATATCTCCTCTTGCTTAAAAACTGTTCCACGCACCTATTTTAATGTCAAATCTTGAAATCATCAACTCTTTGGAGTTTGACCTAAGTTGAGAACTTAAAAACTCTTTTGAGCTGATAAAAAAATGAAAATTAATCAATTTATGGCGAAAGACCAGATGAGGTGCTCTAATGTGGTGGCCCTAAACAGGGCTGTTGGAAATGGGGCAAGCCGGCCGGCTGCGAGGTGTCCGCTGGGTGTTAGATGAGATCCGTGCGGATGATGGGAGCGGAGTTACCAGAGTCGGTGTGGTCACGGCATATATAGCCGTAGTTGAGACTGCGTCGGCCAATCAGGAGCGAGCATGAGCTGCGTCGCTAGAGGTGACCGGTGATTGGCCGCCACAAATTCTTTTAGAGTTGTAAAGAAATGTTTAGGTTAAAGAGTCAAGTTGTTTTTTACACAGCTGATTTTATTGCGTAATTTTGATCTTGAACTATTGGCTTGAAATAAAATATTTTACGGTAGATGTTCAATCATTGAAGATGAGTGATTTGCCTCTCATTTAGTTTTCTCAAGAATTAAACGCGGTGCATTTTACTTTTGCCGAAAATGATTGTATCAAAGTTTAGAGTTTGGCTGCAATCATGTCCGTCTACAGTAGCGCGCTGTCATGTAAAGTTCATTTTTGCAACTGCTGAACTCACAAGATTTCTCAAAAAAAAAAAAAAAAAAAAAAAAAAAAAAAAAAAAAAAAAAAAAAAAAAAAAAAAAAAAAAAAAAAAAAAAAAAAAAAAAAAAAAAAAAAAAAAAAAAAAAAAAAAAAAAAAAAAAAAAAAAAAAAAAAAAAAAAATGTTGTATGATACATTGAACACAAGTATAAGTAATGCAGTAAGTGCCTCCACAAATAATGTTCAGTACTATGAAGTTTTTTTAAAGAATTTTTACTGCATTTTCACTCTGTTATCTATATTAATATAAGCGCCACTCCACTGACTGATCTCTGTATCTCTGTATCTCTGGATCGTTTGATTGGGATGTTCCCATTTTTGGCATGAGGGCTCCTTGGGGGCTGGTGACACGAGATAAGCGGCATTTTCCCTAGGGATGCATTCCACCCCAAGTTACACAGGTACATAAAAGGATCGTAAAGGAGGTAGTTCGGGAAGGATCTTAGACCTATGGATCTTCAACTCATCGATTTTCAATCCATTGATTTTTGATCGATCTTCGACTTATCGATCCTCTATCCATACTAATAAAAGCGCCACTCCACTCACTGACCCTGGATCGTTTGATCGGGATGTTCCCATTTTTGGCATGAGGGATCCTTGGGGGTTGGTGACGCGTGATAAGCGGTATTTTCCCTAGAGATACATTCCACCCCGAGTTACACAGATATGTAAAAGGATCGTACACGATTGTATAAAATAGGATGTATATTCATTAACCGGGATAAAAGGGAAGATATCGCTCTTTGTTTATCCATCATCGATATATCGTTTGATATAAAGCTGACCAAATATACCAATCTAATAAACATTCCCATCTTAATCTAATCATATGTTACCCTGATTTTTGTAAAAACATCAGTGAAGGTTGCCAATTGTTTTCTACTGTGAACGGTAGAAATAATCTGACAAAAATTGATTCATAATACATCTTGTAAGCACAAAATTATTTGGTTATTGAGATATAAAAGAAAAATTAAATGGTATGTTAATCTATTTTTTTTCCTGAAAAATCTATGTTGTAATGTAAATTTCTCCTCTGTAAATCCCCAGCGTATTTCCAGATTCGACTCTCTAGGTTGTATCCCTTTTCATGTCCTCACACTGTCAATAAAAGTAAATTGAGGTAATTTTTGAACAACTTTTTCAGAGGCTCCCGGGCATCCTGTTAATGAGGAAATTTTCAATAATGACATGGATCACTCGATGATGGACGGACACAATCCTCTGTCCCTGCCTCCTCCAAAACCACCACCAACCCCTCCGCCTATGGACCTTCCCATGAACGATTCGCCTGAAAGTTCAAAAGATTCTCAAGAAGAAACTGAGAAAGAACGCGAGTGTCGGCAGAAGTCAGTATAAAATGCTGTTTGAACTTTCAGGTGTGGGCACACTTTCTTTGATAAAACATGAATTTATTGGAAAAGCTGTATTTATTTTTCTTCCAATTTTTCAGGCAATTATGTTTGCAAGTAAATATAAAATATCTGAAACGCCAAGGATAAATATGCCTAGTTTTCTACCTAAGAAATGTCTTTATTGGAGGAAATTTAGTAGCATTTGAATGTTCTTATGGCGATTATCCAAAGCACGTCACAAGAAAATAGAATGGTTTGACTTTGACCTGAGAAACTGAGGAAGAATATTTTTGTAAACAGTTGGGTATATTTTTCCTAAAATTTGAGGATTTTTGATGGCAAACGTGCTTTTTATTGTATTTATTTTGCTTTATTTTCCTCCGGTCAATTTTTTTTTTTTTTTTTTTTTTTTTGCTTACCTAATACCTAATTTATTGCTACCTAATAAAGCTTTTCTTCTGTCTTAAGATTTTTGTAATTTTCTTCATATAAACTTTGTATAATTATTAGTAATCTCCATAATATGCATGGTTTTCTTGATGAGATCAAGCATTTCTTGAAAATGATGATCAAAATACCCAGCTGTATCATAAGTGTAAAAATATTATTCTTATCGTACAGTGATGAGTTTGTTTCAAAGGATAATTTCCTTCAAAAAGTCTTTTTCAAAAAGTTAGCAACACCTGTCCTGATAAATATTTTTTTCAGTAATGGATAAATATTTCTTTCGCTGATTTTACTGTAGACTTTTTTCCTTTTGAACAACAACAGCCATTTCAGGCTTGTACCCATTGTCAGGTTTATAAACCAAAGATGAAAATGAAAACGTAATCTCGAATTATTTTCATTTTTTGCTTAATAACATGACAATGTGCCTAAGTTCAAAGTAGCTGCAGTTATTTTTAAGGAAAAAATTTTCAGTAAAATCAGAAAGAATTTATCCATTTCTTAATCAACAGTGCCGATAAATTAGAACAAAACTTGATAGCTTTTCCCTCAAATCATGATTTTATGAGTTCTTCATTTAATCTCTTTTCAGAATACAAAAAAATTCAGAGCGAGAAAACATTGTGTCTCTAGATAAAGTATTACCAAAAGCATGGGAACCCATCCCTCTGAACAAAGGCAATCTGATTCGGCCTTTGGCAAAACGAAGAATATACAAGTGATTAGTCTAGTTTGGTTAGCACTACTTTTCTGAATTTCTTTTCCATTTTCCTCTCTCTGACTTGTTCTGCGTTAATTGTAATATCTGTAGGACTGTGATGTACATGACTTGAGTGCCTTTCTTATAGCTTGTAAAGACCATTTTTTAGGAGTAAAATATACGAGGGTCATCCAAAAAGTAAGGTTCCCTACCTTATATCTTCCGAACGAAAAGGGATAAATCAAATCGGTAAAAACGTACATATTAGGCATACTCTAAGCTTGAAAACAAGCTCAAGTTTTTGAAAATCGGTTGAGGACTTCGCGAGAAAACTCAATTTTACTGAGACGACCTCCCGTCGTTGCGTGCCCACCTCCGAGGTCATGGATGCGCGGAGAGTCCCATACTTCAGACTCGGCTTATCGCCTCTAAACATCCAATCGAAAAGGAATTTAAAAGATTTTATCGAGTAGGCCTTACCATACTTTTTGAGATCGTCTCCGCATCTTTTTTGACATTTCTGGTATCATTACAGCAGCTCTTTCATGCCTTCCGGGCTAAAGGTCTCATCTTGGCTCCAGAACCAGTCATTGCCAGCGATTTTCACCTCCAAATCAGTTGCTTACCGTGGTAAAATTTTTCCCCAATCCTCCGTGCTCTCTTAATTTAGCCTCAGGTGACTTTCGTCTATTCCTGAGATGAAAAACTCCCACTGTGGAAAGCGATTTCCAACAGATTTAGAGGTGCAGATCGCTGGCAATGACTGGTTTTGGAGCCAAGACGAGACCTTTTACGCGGAAGGCATGAAAGAGCTGCTGTAATGATACCAGAAATGTCAAAAAAGATGCGGAGACGATCTCAAAAAGTACGGCAAGGCCTACTTGATAAAATCTTTTAAATTCCTTTTCGATTGGATGTTTAGAGGCGATAAGCCGAGTCTGAAGTATGGGACTCTCCGCGCATCCATGACCTCGGAGGTGGGCACGCAACGACGGGAGGTCGTCTCAGTAAAATTGAGTTTTCTCGCGAAGTCCTCAACCGATTTTCAAAAACTTGAGCTTGTTTTCAAGCTTAGAGTATGCCTAATATGTACGTTTTTACCGATTTGATTTATCCCTTTTCGTTCGGAAGATATAAGGTAGGGAACCTTACTTTTTGGATGACCCTCGTAACATAAAAATTGGGTTTGGTTCATCTGTGGATTGACTGATATAATTTAACACAGGACCAAAAATTTTCATAATTGTATTCTGTTTGTTAATACCCTCAAAAACACTTGCAGTATTCGAGAAATGAATAAAATTTCACAAATATCGATTGATCAAATAATCATGAGGTGGCGGGTCTTATGATTTATGAAACTCCACCAAATGAACTAATGCGCAATTGCTTGAACATTTAAGCAACGAAAATGGCTGAAATAAGCTTCTAAACAAAATTTATCAGTGTTTTTATTTAGCATTGTCACAAAAAATTTCCCGTTCTCAAGAAAAGCAAGAGTTTACTTGAATCAAATTGGGCTTTGTATGCAAGTTTTTGTAGGCTTCTTAACTAAACAGCGTTCCTTCATCGCCCTGCGTTGTTCAAAGTGTAAACAACATCCAACTGCTAAGCCTAAGCTCCGAGATTGAGATTCGTGTGTGTTCATACTTCTGAGACTGTGAGAGTAATGTTTATCTCAAATAGATCATGGTTTTCCCATTAGCACTTCTACTGTTTTACTTGACATATTTACCAAGTTTGAAATTTATATTTGTTTATTTTTCAGTTTCATCACAAAAGGTTTGCTCTATCACTCCAAGTAGAACACAAGCAGTTTTTGGTCAAGGTGCTAATCCCTCTGCATATATTCTGTGTCTGCAGTTGTACCATGCCTAAGTTTTGTCCTATGTCGTCCACTTTTTGGAGGAGCCTCCAAGCTTAACTTAGTTTGTCATCAGAGGACTCATGAAATGCTGTTCCAAAACGTCGAGTTATAAAGAGGTGAGTTACTGAACTTGTACATGTTTCTTTGAACTATTATAACAGGGTTTCTGGTGGTCTGTGGAACCTGGAAAGTCAGAGACTTCATGGGAAGCCTAGACAGTCAAGGAACTGAAGATTGTGAATGTTAAGTCCATTTATTATGTACATTGCTCATTCGTAAAACTGAATTCCATTTCTCTGCTCTATGAAAAGAATATTCTGGGAGAAATTCAAGCCAGTGTTCGTCTCGTCTCCTTTCAAAATATAAAATAGGGGCAGAGATTTTATAACACCGCTACTGCATCTTTACTTTTGATACGCAACTAAAACACTGTAGCAAGGAATGTGTTAACAATTACACCCTGCTTTGCTGTGTTAAGGATATAAGCTGTATGAACGTTCACACTTTACCAAATCTCTTTCAATCAAGAAGTAATTTTTGAGGTAATTAGGGAATTTTTTCCCTCAAAATTTTCTATCCAACTAATAATTTTATCTAAAATTGCGAATCATCTTCTCTGAAATTTGGAGGGAGTATGTTTACAAATTTCCCTTAAAATTCTCGCTTTTATCACGATAGATTGGACAGCATATGAATGCTGAGAAGGCGTTCTTCTTTACCACAGAAGTAATCTGCTGTATTTATCCGGCTTGAAATTCATAATGTTTTGGTTTTCAGAGGGCATCATTATAGTGGGTTTCCTCTACCATTCAATGTAGAACACAAGTGTTCTTGTTCAAGGTGCTAATTCCTGTACCTAAAGCTAAGTATTGGCGGTTATACCATGCCCAACTACCTCACTGTGTTTTCTAGGTTTTGGAGGAGGATCCAACCTTGCTGAACCTGTCGTTAGAGGACTGTGAGAGCACTGGCACTAAACATCTAGTCAGAAAGTTGTGAATAATTGGTCTTGTACATGTATTTTGTAATCCTCAAAGGGTTTCTGATGAGCTGCAAAACCTTCAAAAGTCAAGGAATCAATGCTGGCTTAGAAAAGTCAGGAAACTTGAGGTTCTGAACTCGTGGTCTAGCCAATATTTACAGTTATTCCAACGCTCTTTTCGAAGGATTTTTTTTGAAAATTTTAAACCACGATGTTGGTTCGGTATCTTTTCAAAGAAATAAAATAGGAGCAGAGATTTTTGAAGCAATACAACTGATGTACGCTTTTTGCAGTTTCACCATCGCTATGTATTTAAAACATTGTGGTAGGCAACTTATTAACCATAACTTTTACTACTGTACTGTATTCTTCCAGCTTGAAATTTTCATTGTTTTATTTTTCAGGAGGTTTCATTGGATTTTCTCTACAACGCCAAGTTGAACACAAGCAGTTCTTGGTCATGTTCAAGGTGGTAATTCCTCTACATAGTGCCTACAAGTGTCGGCGACTATAGCATCCCTAACTTGCTTACTATGTTTTCTATTTTTTGAAGACTGATTTGCTTTTAACTCAGCCAGTTGTCAGAGGACTATTTAAATACTGACCCAGAACATCCAGTTGCAAAGAGGTGAGTTCTTGGTCTTGTACCTATATTTTATAATCTTTACAAAATTTCCAGTGGTCTGCAGAACCCGGAAAGTGAAGTTAGGGTTTAATTGATGTTTATACAGGTTGAGTCAAAATCTGTATTAAAGTGTGATGTCACTCCTAATAGATGAGATGTTTCAAAGGAGAAGAATGATTCTCCTTTCTCATGGCAAGCTAAAAACCTTAATTTTTTCATCATTTACACCTAGTTTGCATCTGACTACAGTTTTAAATATGGCAATAATTTATTGAGTCTTAAAAAGCCAAGCCACAGTGTCTTTAAGTACATTAGAAACTGACTGACGTTTGTATGAAGCACTTCCTATTTTCGACTTCCACCACCACCCAGTCCATCCAACAAAGAGTCAATGCAAGAACTTGCAATCTGCACTGTCCAAAAAGGATGGATAGATCACTTCTAATTAAAGTAGTGAGAATGAAAAATTGGAAAAAATTAAAATGTTCAGGAGACGCCATAAACTGCACAGTAGGTGAAATGGTCTGGTGTAAAAAAGCTTTTTAGTGCCAACAAGGGTGTATGGAGGGACACTCAAAACGCTAAATTGCAGTGGATGCACTGTAAATACACATGGATGCGCTACTGTGCAGTTTAATGAGTCCCCTGAACATTGACATTTTTGTAAGTTGGCATTTTCTCATTCTCACTGATTCAATTACAACCCTCAAAGCAAACATAGAGACAGTATTTTGAAGTGTGCATGTTTACTTAGAAAGAAAATGTTGCTGGGTTAAAGGAGAATTTTTCCATTACAATTTTTTATTTAATCATTTGCCTAGTTTTGCGAAATTATAACAGGAAAGTACTTCTTTTATCTAACTATAGGAAGCCCTGCAAGGGCCAGCAAAAAGGAAAGTAACACCAAAAGATCCAAAATGGTGCGGTTATACCGTTCCAGAAATTTGTACCCCACAGAGCTCTCAACGCATCCTATTGATCGAGGCTTGTAGCCATCTACCACATACTCCCTCTAACTTAGAACGATTAGCCAGTGCATCTTGTCCCTGTATCAGTACACGCTGGAAAAATCAATGCAATAGGCCTTAATGATTTGATTGATTCTACAATTAAAGCAGTACATTTCAGAATTCAGCTTTTACTCAGTTTCAATTCAAAAGTTTCTCAGCAATTCTAATTATTTCTATTTCTGCATATTCCAGATGGGCAAAGAAAATTTGAATTCCCAAATAAATTGGGAAGGATTGTTGGCTAGTGGAGTGCCAATCAGCTTTAACATGAACGTCATGGATCATGTACCTGATGGTAATGACACCTATGTTCTTGTAGATACCTCTGATTCTTCTTCGCTTCAAAATTTTCCGCAAGATCCACCTTTTCAAGATCCAGTTGTTAAATTTAACAAAACTAGTTCTTCTGCTCTGCCTCTACAAGACTCGATTTTTCAAGACCCTGTTTTTGATCTTACCAAACCTACTTATTACTTAGTTTTATGTTTTTTAATCCATTTTGGTTGATCACAAATGATGCTTTTGTTGGAGTTTTTATTATTTTTCTGAGAGTTTATCTTCTTATATGGATCGCATTTTGCAAATAGGAACCAGTGCAATTACAGTGTTGTAAAAATGTTGCTTCCTCATAAATATTTAAGCAATCTCCCAGAACAGCAAATAGCTTTGGCTTCCGATGGAAAAATTGTTAATTTTAAGGGAAAATAATTGTAAATTTTAATACTGTACTTACATCATGTATTTTTAAGAGAGAAGGAGAAGGTGCACGATTTTTAAAACACTGTAACAGCGCTGGTTATTTTTTGCTAAATGCGATCCATATGTTAATCCTTTCTGTGTTGTTTTAATAATCATCACTATGTGTTACCTGTGATCAATTCATTCAAAATGGTTGGTTACTTATTTCTCCTTTCTGTCGGGAGGTATTATTTGAAGTGACTGCCCGTAGAAAGGCGTATTATAAAACTGTTAGCGCTTTTTTGATGGATACTTTTAGATCTCTTCTTACCCGTAATGTTTTATTTTGTCACCTTCCGACGAAAGTATCACAAGTGCCATCCAACATTTAAAAATTTCCGCTGCCATTTTATTTTCTTACAGAGAAATTGTTGAACGAAGCTGTCCAAAAATTTCACTTGGTGCTACCGATTAAATTCAGTGAAATGTTCAAACAGATTCAACCAAGAATTTCTCTGTAAAAAATAAAATGGAGGCAGAAATTTTTAAATGTCGTATAGAGCTTGTGATACTTTGGCTGGAAGGTGACGAATGCACTTGTGATCGATTCATTCATAATAGCTGATATTATTTTACTTATTTCACCTTCCTGTCCAAAGGTATTATTTGAAGAGATAGCCTGTGGAAGGGCGTATTATAAAATTGTTTTTAAAGTTATTTAAGGATAAACTAAAATTTTATATTCGAACTTTAAATCTCTGACTTAATCTACAACTGAAACTTAATTATACAGTAACAGTAACTTCGTATGTAGTGCATTTTATTTTTAGTTCCTTATTGTGTTCAATCGTTTTTTCTAAATTAATAATTTAATAATAATAATTCATAAGTTTTATTTTTTGATTTTCTTACCTGCATATTTATGATTTTCGCTGCATAAAATGCAATCTGCCTTGTGATATTGTTTCTAGCTGTTAATTAAATCATAAGTTCTTCTTTGTACTCCTAATAATAAATGCATTTTTATACAACTATAGTATGTGAAGTTTTTAGTTTTACTGCAAGCCCTCTTTTGCCCCTCTCCTCAAAATTTTCAAATTTTTACCAGAATTAAAATACTTGATCAAGTTGTTAATTGTCAACTTTTTTTCGTATGAATTTCAAGATGCTTCACTACAATATTGTACAATTATTGTCATTATAATAGTCAATATTTTATTTTATTTTTTTCAAGTTTCTTTAGCACACCTTGTGCCAACCACACTCAATAAGAATAGAAGATCGTATGATTCTTTTGTCCCCTCCAAAACCTAGTCCTGCCACCGGTCGTTTTCAATCAACAGGTTATTTCCATGGCAACGGTTTACTTCAGCGCTGTTATCCAATTCAAGGGAGGCAGTATGGCTTGAGAGAAGCCCTAAATTTTAAAGCTTCAAAGTTATAATCACAATAATTTTTTTCTTATCATGACTTATTATTAAGAGGAGAGGGCATCCATCCTGTAATGCTTTCTTAAGTGTTTGCTCAAAAGTTACCATAATGTCCCATTAAAGTAATATTCAATTTGTAATGCCTTAGCTGCACATATTTCAACTCTTTTAGTCTGATAATCTTTACTTTCCCATCCGACTATCATAAAAATATCAGTTGTTTTTTTTTTTTTTTTTTTTTTTTTTTTTTTTGAAAAGGAGCACTGCATGTGCATTTTCTAGTTCGTCTTGATTTCCTCCCTGTTCAAGTTCTTTGCTCTCATCAATCAATGTAAATGCCGGAATTTAGTTTGCAGCTTCTCTGCTTAGTCATGAGCAATGTCTTTTGATTTCCGAAAACAGTGGCTGAAAGAGAGGGTGTTAACGTTCCTCAATGAAGAAAATAACTACATTCTTTTCGATAACCTTCTATATCGTAAAGAAGGAGTCGTGAGTACGCTCCTTGACGAGTTTTTGGATAAACCCATTTGCGGCAGTCATGATCACAAGCGGATTGTTGTGTTTTTTTATAAGACCTACTATGACAAAACGGTCCTTGAGGAGGTGGATGTTCAGGAGGAAGGTATAAGCTTAATTTTTTATACCATGGTCTAACCTCGTACTCTTACTAGGTTAATTCATATCATTGACGAAATTTTTATTTTGCTTCTTATACAGAGCGAGTTTAACAAAAACACACAAAGTTGCAGTTTGAGTAGAAATAAGTTAAGAGTAGTTTTGAATGCAATTTGTTGAAATTTTCATCATTTTTTGTTGTGGATAACTATAAAAATCATTTTTAAGTATTGAAATTTCACTTAATTTCTTTACTTATTGTAAAAAACTTGCCAAAAATCTCATGCCAAAATAGCTAGTTTGACCTAATGAAGTTAGAGTAGGAATTTTCAAATGCAGCAGCAGACAAGGTGAAGGGCGTTTTAGTTTAACCATTACAATTACAAACAAATAAAGAATTGCAAAGTATAAAAAGGATGTGCTGACTAAATTTTTTTAAAAAAAAAGTTTCACCATTAAAACCTGGAAGTGAACATCTAGATTTTTATATTACAGTCCCTTTTTCGATGATGTATTCTTGTTTATGCCTGACTTTCTTTCCGTTTTCAGTGGCCCAACCTGCACAGACGCTGGAACCAGAACCGGAGTCAGTCATAGCGTTAACAACTGAGCCGAAACGGAAGAAGAGCAAAGGGAACATCAAGAAAAAGCGGAGAGGTAGCAAGAAGCTTGATCTTGATGAGGTCAACGAATCCTCAGCTCTTCACGCTGATCCGGACGAACCAGATCCCGGAATAAAAGCAGATTTGCAGGAGCGAGACGGTGGTGAGGCCACAAAAGAAGATGATGGCCTGGAAACGCAGAGCATGGATGACGATGGTGACAAGAAGAGAAAAGGCAGAAAGGACTCCAAGTCGAAGAAGTCAAAGAAAGGAAGACGCAGCCCTGTCACTTGTATGTTTTCATCTTTTATTTTTAGTGATGCTAGGCAATTTTTTAGCAAATCAATCAGAGTTTTTAAGCATCTCATTCTCTGAATTTGATAGCTGAAATCGACAAATGCGTATCTTTATTGCAGCGTTTCAGAATCTTTAATTAATTACATTCTAATTTTTAAAGGAAACCAACCAAAATATTTCCTCAAGATTGTCTGTTAATATAAATTAAGGATAAATGAAAAAAATGCACCTAAAATTTCAAGAAAAATCACTTTTTGTTTTTATTTTAAAACATGAAGCATGAGCGACTTATCATCACACTCAGAAGTGCGCATTTTTTTTACTTTAGTCATTAATATGCTGGAAAGGGATTTTCCTCCCTCCTCCGCTTACTGTCATCTTTTTAAGGGACTGCCCTGGCTGTCCGTTCACGTCTGTTAATTAATCTCTGTAAAATATCGTTAAATCCAACGTTGTCATGAGATTCACTGGGGGCCTCCAGAGAAGAAAGTTGCGATTTACTTTGATTCCCTCTAAAGTACTTTTTATAAAAGTGACTTTTTACAACTTTCACCACCCAACAATTGACCTCTTCTAAAATGTAAGTAATGGTATTTTTTGCAAAAAGAGAAAGAAAAAAATATGCGGTGTAATTAAAAAATTACCGCCTGTGATAATCTGCATAGGTAGGTACCCCAAAAGCAGTGTAATCGTAAATGAAGCAACATTAGTCATTACTAAATCCTGTACATTCTGAGAATGTAGAAGTAGCTTCATAGATAGTGCTTGTGTAAGATAAATTAAAAAACTACATCTCCTAAATTTCCCCAAAAAATGTTACCTATCCATGAATAGTCCATTTTTTCAGAGCTTTTTTTACTAAATTTTATTTTAGAAATTTAACAATCAATTTTTTGTTTCTTTTTAGTGGTGGAAGAAGCTCCAAAATTACCTACGCCACCTCCTGAATATGTCACTGTCAAGGTAAATTTTTTTTAAGTTTCTCTACTTTTATTCGTGACTGGTATGTCCAATCAATCATTTCTCTGTTTTTTAAATTATAATTTCTCTCCCGTCTTTAAAGTAGAATTTAAGTTGAAAAGAAGAATATCTAGAATCTTATCTGATGAAAAACCCCCAACTTATTTTAACAATTTCCTGTGAAACTTAAGTCCCTAAGTTGTGTATGAATGATAAATGAGGAAAATCTTTAATTTTAGATGACTCGGAAGTTAAAATTTCCAAAGCCTCCAACATTTATCTTCCTTTTGTGTTCTCTGGGGATCATCAGAGAAACTCCCCATAATTATAACTATGTGTAAAATAAATTTGTGGAATAGAAGAATTGCATTGAAAAACTCAACTTATTTTGCATGTGGATGAAAACCTTTTTTATTTTTCCAGAAAGTTGTGACGAAAGTAGTGCCGGCCCCACAACTTCACTGCCATTTTGGTGCAGTGAATGGAAACAAAATTGATATAAACCAGCAATATGCTTACTTCATCCGTCAATGTTACCATCCAGTTCCGCTCACTGATACATGGGAAGAAGCTGTGGCTGAGATGCCTGTCTACTTTTTGGTTGGGTCTATCAGTGGAAATTTTTTGCCTGGTCTCCGGACTTTAATCAAACAAGTAAGATTTCATCATTTCTGTATGTATACTATTTGACTGCTGCTTATTATCTCAGAATTTCTCAGAAATGCTTGAAGATCTAGAGCTATTTTTTTGGAGAAGGACATATGAGCCTATGTAACTTTATTAATAAGTATAAAAAAAAGCAATATCTTATCATTTATCAATCTTTATCTTATCAATATCCTTTCAATATCTGTAAAATTATTTGTGTTAAAATCAAGGTATTTGCGAGCACTTAATGGAAAAGAGATATCTAAAAAATTTGAAGCGTTTTTCACTTCAAAGGTATTTGACTTTGCATGTTAACTTGTATTTAACTTGCGCAGTAACCATACCTGCTCAACTTTATAAATGTTAATGTACGGCATACTCAATGAGCGAATGTTTGAAATCGAATATGATACAATTTTGGGATTTGTGAATGCTTAGTGATGGCAAAATTGGTTGATTAATTCAACCAACCAGAGGCGAGAATGCAATAATCAACGAAATTCCCAAAGAATGGATGGTTAGATTCGTAGGTATGGACAAAGAAGGAAATGTTGAGATAAATATTATAGGGAAAAAATTAACAACATCCGAATGGGATAAAATAACATATCATATTTGACTGAAAAAAGTCGCCTATGGTGGTCCTTAAAACTTGTTTTTAGATTGTTGAAGGAAATTATCTGTTTTTTTAAAAAAGAAAAAAAAAATCATAGGAAAAAATACTTTTATAGGTATAGATATGAAATATTCCAATTTTTTTTATCAAAAACTTAACTTTCAAAAATCAGAACCTGCAATTCGATTTTTCGTTGCAATGCTGTCTTACTAAAAAAACGCTTCAGTGCTAAACATTTGTTTTGGAGTCTTAGACTTGACCAGCTTGTTACAACAGTTTTCTTAGTTTAGTTATGAGAAATTTTTCCCAGCGACCTAAATCTGTTCATTATTCCTTTAAGTGAAACTTGATCATTTTTTCTTCACGACAGGTTTTCATGTCCCTCATCTCATGCCAGTTTCAAGACCCCTTACTGGAATTGAAACGGAAATCGCGGACTAAAGATGACAGTGACGGCACAAAACAGGCTCACTACCCACCAACAATGGAAGCTTTTTGTCGACCATCAGACTTTTGGCGAATGGCGCTCAAAATGCAGCAGGAGTTTGCTGCCGAAGAAGCTTTTCTTGAGCAAGATCGTGTGGTGGAAGTCGTGCCAGTGGTCAAACGTAGATCCCTTGAGGCTCAAGATTCGCAGGAGGATCCACAAACACCAGAGTCTGAAACGGAAGAGGAGGTCACAATGTTACGACCTTTAGATATTGAGGAGAGTGTTGAGGGCGCTATTGATTTGGATGAACTCGTAGCCGCACACCTTGGTAAGATTTTGGCGAAATTGACTAATCTAATTTTTAGACAGTAAGTTAGAATTTTTTGGCCAATTTTCGTTCAAAATCCAGAAAACAAGAAATCTCAGTGCAGAGGAAAAAAGCTCATTCGAGCACAATTTTCCCTCAAAGAGATACGCTCTTTGGTGCAACACTAGTTACGACCATTCATAAAGGCAACTGCAGACGCATTTTGGGTCTAATTGGACCCATCGGTACAGAGCAGCCTCCATTGAGATTTTCAGTTTTCTGGATTTTTAACGCACATTGGCTAAAAAATTCCAACTTACCGTCTCTACAACCCGTGCGTCTACTGCAGTCAGTTGGTGAATATAATTTTTAGAAAATAGGTTTTAGGAGTATCAAATTACCGTAGAAATTTGGCCTTTGGACAGAACTTATTTCTTTTATAGCTAATCTTAATGTTCAGACCATGAAAAAACGATCCTGCTACCTACGTATTATTCAATTATCACATTTTTCAGAATGTCCATGATAAAAATGTCCTTTATCTGGGGTGTAATCGACCCTTTTCACCATTTACATAGTTTTACAGATCATTTATTTGTTATTGTTTGAATTACAATTTAACACTGATTCTATGCATTTTTCCTTGCCATTTCTTGAGGGCACAAAATTTGTGAAGGAATTTATTTTTTTGTTTGTTTTCATTCTCTGTACTAATTGACTAGTTGTACCAGTTAAAAATTCGTGTTTTGATGATTTTAGATTACAGATCAGCTAAAAATAATAAGATCTGTCGTATATCAAGTTACCAGGCTCGATATAAACACCTAAACCACTCTAGATCTTCAACCAACCAACTTGTCAGTGGCTGTTTGTGCTAGGCACTAAGGCCAAGCCCTCATACGGGTGAATCTTCTAAACAATAAAACAATAAACAGAGATATTGCCCTTCAAAAAACGTGGCGTATGACGTCCTCCTCTGCGATGGTGCTTACCATGGTTCCTTCCACCATAATTTCATCCATATTTTAAGTTGAGCAACCAGTGCTAATGTATGTCACTAATTAATGGAACCATGGTATGTACTATCAAAGTGGGTAACTTTATACCAGTTGTTTTTCAAAGAGCAATATTTCGATCAATATTTGTCGAAAGAACCAAGCATTTATACAGCTCTTTTTGTTTCTTGCCAATCTATGAGCTTAAACCATCAAAATGCAATACCCTCACTAGCACAACTGATCCATTGATCATGATTTCAATTGTCACTCTTCTCTAATCTCCATAATATAAGGTAACATCATACACACAAGTGAAGGTTCATTGAGAACAGGTGTTTTGCTTCATTTTATCAGGAATGCCGTTGGGTGAGATAACGTCAACAATTCGGAGGAAATCAAGCACGGCCTCAGCGACGTCCCGAAGAACATCGGCTCTTTTACTTGATGATGCCAACGCTGAATGCGAGCCTTTTAAAGTGGAAATGCTTAAGCAACTTGAGTCCCTCATCAAAATGATTGATTGGTAATTATATATCACTACTTAATCCACAACGCAAAGCAACACCTTTCTCTTTTTTATTTATTTCGATTTCAACTACTGTTTACCTACAAAATGTTCTTTTCATTTGGATTTCATTCCGCAGTAAGGAACAGACTCACAGATAAAAACAAGTAATTGCATAGAGAAACGAATGGTATGCATATTGTTTCTAAAATGAGCCAGAAATTGTAGTTCCTAATATTCCAAAATAAAATCCATTTGATGTAAAAAAAATGTCAAACTAAAAAAATATACACATCTTTTTTTACATCCAAATTGAAATCAGTGGAGGTATAGTTTTATTCACGCAATGTTAATTAAATCAGAATGATGTTTACTTTTTATTAAAGAAGTAAAGAAAAAAATAAATCAGACAACATCTGATATGATTAGGCTGATTACGGTTAAATCTGTACAATCCCTCAACAATTGGACTACTTTTTGCAATTAGGAACATTTCTGGCTCATAATACTTAAAAATACCTTTCTGCGTAAGAAAACTAATGGCACATATTTTGTTTCCAAAATGATTCAGAAATTGTAGTTCCTGACTGCTAAATGTAGTCAAATTTTATTTTAATTTTTTTTACCTGGTTCTTTTAAACATACTTTCTTTTGTGCATCACTTGTTACTCGCCAGGCAAAGTCTTGATGAAGAAATGTGAGCGTAGTACCTCCTGTTTTCTTTGTCTCATGTCTTTTTCATTTTATTTTCAGGACACAAAATCACCTAACAGGTGACATTAGTTTGCCAGTGCCAAATCTACCAGAGCTCACAAGCAAAGATTTCAAACCAGAACTTTTGAGTAAAAATGAAGAGGTCGTAACAAAGTTGGAAGAGGCAGTGAAATTGTGGAACGAACGACTGAGTAAAAATTTGGAGCGCATAACTAGTAAAGTAAGGACTTCCCCCTCCCCCTTCTATTATAAATATAATTTTTACAAATATTGACATAATATAGTTGAGATATGGCAAATTCTGACGATTTTGAATGTTTGAACCGTATTTTTCTCTGATTTAGACCTGGGCTGGGTAGCGATTTTTCGATTAAAAAAAGGAAATGCCTTCAGAATAGCTAGAGTGTTAATCAAGTCAAACGATGTATTGATCAAGATTTTTTTAGTTTGGTCAAATTGTAGAAAGATTTAATCAAATTATTAAAAAAAGGGATGAAAGAAGTTTCAAGCGTTTCCTCTTTTGGACATAGCCCTCTCATCTTAAAAGCTCCCTTCTCACAATTTTCAAAGCGATGACTTTTAGCCCCTTTTGCTGTTTATACACCACTTATTTTCTCACTAACGCAGCTGCCTTTGCCTTTTCCAAAAGCCTTCCACCTTTCAAAACCTTTTTTTTCCGCCTCCTTATTTTTGCATGTGATTGATAACGACCCAGTGGATATACAATTGAAATTTTTTGCTTCAGAGTTTTAAGAGTTTAATCAATTTTGTCTGATCTAGAACTATCTATAATTAAAAGTACTCTAGGGTTGGTTAAGTCCTCAGGCCTCAGGCGCTTTCTAAAAGTCTAAATCAGTGAAGGATACTACACATTCATGGCAATCATCACTTTTCAATCTGAATTTTTTAAACTGTTTAACGTAAGCATGATTTTAATTTTTGCACTTCTCGGCTTTGAATTCTCCGACAGAGGTGTAGACCCAGCACTTCAATGGCACCAATAATTTACATACAATAGATTTGCACCAGTCATGGTATTTTTTCTTTACATAGTACCCTGTATTTTTTCTTTAAGTAACTCTCTACTAATTATGACATGTTATGCTAAAGTAACACATTATTTTTGGCTCAAAAATTGCCTCAGAAACCTGTTGGAGACGGACCAATCGCTGAGTACACGCACTGGCATGAGTTAGAAGCTGAGCTGAGCATTCTGCAAGAGCAGCTTAATACCCCGATGGTGTTAAAAGTTATCAATCTGTTATCGCTTACAACCTCAGAGCATTTTGTCAAGTTCAGAGACATTCAAGCAGATCTAAGGAGGCATTTTGTCGAAACGCAAGATAACGTCAGATTTTTATCAACTATTCTCTGTCATTTTAAAGTAAGTTTGTAATGCTACTCTAGTTTTTCTAAGAAAAAACTTTGCTAAAGAAAATATTTGGTCCTCAAGCGTTCAATAATTTGACTTGCTTCAGAAAAAAAAATGTTTTGGCCAATCAAGCTCTTTACCTGTGAACTGAGATATTTATGCCCCGAAAGGACCAAGCCACACAATACTAAAAAACTCGGCGCCTGGTAAATTTTGATATTATTTAATATGATGTTCCATTTTGCCTCTTGAGCACAATGAGCTGTTAAAATTTGACTTTCTGTGTGCCAATCTTGAGAAAAGCGAAAGTTTTATTTTAAGAGCTCATCACGCTTAGGAGGTCATGTGGAGAATCATATCAAATGAGGTCAAAAGTTAACCAGTGCTGAATTACTTGGTATTCCGTGCGCAGTCCTCTCGCAAATCATTTCTTTTGTAATACAATTTTTCTGTGGATCGGCCAAAATGACAGTTACTTTTCCAACCCCTCCTAAAGTTGGCAAAAAACAATCATTTCCATTAAGAAGATTTGAACGAAAAAAGAATTTCAAAAATAGAAATATTTGTTTTAAAGTGTCCCACATCCAATGTTGGGGCTCTCACAAGGATTTGTGATTTAAGTATCTCTGCTTTACTCCTGCAAAACTCCTCATAAAGAAGGATGGTGCTCCCAGTTTTCCTGGAAATGAACTGCTAAGCTCAGATAAAGCTCTTAAAGTTGAGACCATAATGGAGGAAATCCCTTACATTATGACAGAGTTCACCTCTGTATCCGGTCAAACGCTCCATGCGCAGGTAGGAATCAAATACAGTATCAGTGCTGCTACTTTGCTCAGGGACGCAAAAGCTACAGCCATGGCAATTGTGCCAATGTTGTCCAAGATCATGAAATAAGTGAGTTCTAAAACAAATGCATCATTTTTTCAGGTTTTAATGGAAAGTGACTCTTTAGGTGAGATCAAAAACTGCTTGTATGATCTCATGGAAGGGCTCAGAATCATCTGGTATCTCTCAGTTTACTATTCTAAAGATGAAAATATGGCAATTCTGCTGGAAAGAATCAAATGGGCACTCTGTTTTAAAGTCGAAAATCTACTCAATGTCTCCAAGCTCTTCAAGTAAGAACCATTTTATCAGTTTTCGCAAAGTGGAACTTCCGGGAGCGTCAAAAGCAAAAAAGAATCCAATTTCATGTGTTTGAGGCTTATAGTAGCAACGACTCTTGTACAAATAGCCATCAAATCAATTGAACTGATTATTTTCCAATTGACGTAAGCGCCAATCTTTATTTTGGTGGTAGAGGGTTTGTTTTTTCCTTCTTCTCTTTGATATAATCAATTGTGTCTGATTTCAAAATAGCGTACTAAAAGAACATACATTTTTTGAAATTGATGATCGTCAACAAAGCGAATAAAACAGTTTTTCTTGTTTTTCTTGCATTCTCAATTTTGGCGCTTACATTATTTGGAAAATAATCAGTTAAATTTTTCTGTGGAGCATGAAGGGAAAAATACACTCTCATTGGTGTCAAGTTAGGTATCAGTTTCATTTTCATCGTAAACTTGCAGTGCATTATTTTCCCTTTCTGAGAATGTGGAATCAATTATCCGAACTTCTTCTCTTATTTTAAATATGAGCCTATGAGAATAGTTTGAAATTCCAACGATTTTGTCAAAGGTAATTCCAGCTGAATCTTGACTTTGGTCCCTCAAATGTTCTTCTTTCACCGATATTGGGACAAATGCAATCAACCCAGAACGCATCAAAAAATAAAATTGAAGCAATGAAATTCATACAGTAATTTTAAGTTTTATTTGATCTTTTCAGTCAGGACCTGAGGAAGGTGGAAAAGCTGACAAACGAAGCAGTGGATTTGCTTGTTGCATGGCGGCAAAGCTACCTTGACACGAGGATGAGGATTGAGACAACTGGTACCAGTGTGCGATGGGAATTCAATAAAGAGATGCTTTTCTCCGAGTCTGACTACATGGCTGCTGTAGCTGATGATTTGAACCATGTTTCCAAAGTAAATTGACTCCCTTAATTTTTATGGGCTAACAATTTTTATTTTTAGTGTTCCGACATAATTGCTAAAATTTATTTCGTCCATCTGCTAATGTAAACAACTATTTTTCATTCAGTCAAGGTTCGATCGTCTCACCCGCTGAAATGAATATTTAGAGGATATTAAAGAGGAACAAGGTATTCAAAAAACCATGCTAAAATCTCAGTTTTCCTTTGAATTTCTAACAAAACAAATTGGTCAATTCAAAAAGTTTATTATTCAGAACATGTTTTTTAAAATTCTTCGCTATGTAAATTTAATCGATAGACTAGAATATACTTACAGAACTTACACAATGTAGTTCAATTCTGCCCCTGTGGACAGAAACCCTTTTTCTAGGGTATAGTGTAATTCAAGAACAAAGAAAATTTACCGATTTTAGTTCCTTTAGTTACTTCATTCACTTTGCGTTAGGTTGCCATCAATGCGTTGATTTGACTTGATTAAAACCAAGATTTACTTCTACCCCTGATAATAGTCTCTGTTTTAATTTTTGTCTCCATTAAACTTTAGGTAATGTTAGAATTCCACAATATTTTTGGAGCAGAGCTTAAGTCGATAATCAGTGATCCGGTGCAGATCGATGCTGTGGTAAAGAAGGTTGAATCGATGTGTCATCCAATAGTGAAAGCTGATTTTGAAATCTTTTCGAAAGATTCAAAAGAGCATTGGGAAAATATCATGCAGTGGTTTGAAAATCAAGTGGCAGCTATTGAAAACGAGGCCAAATATTTCATCAACGAGTCTTTCACTCTACTGAGGTAAAATTGGACATTTTTCGGTTTAAAATGTGAATAGTTTTAATTTGTAAATGTAACAGTCTCAGGCTCTTGAGAAGAAGAACTAAAAGAAGTAGCCAGTTTTACAATATGAGATCCGTAGGAAAATGCATTTATTCATTTGCATAAACAAGTGAATGGTTGGAAATCTTGTGAATAACAAGAGAATACCAACGTTTCATTACAATTTGGTCTCAAGAAAGTAATTTTTCCCTGAGACCTTTTTTGCCTCCTGAAATGTTTACGATATCATGAGCTGATATTCTCTTAATAGATGTCAAGCACCATGCATAAGTCTTTTGGATTGAATGATGACCATCCAATGAGAACAAACTGCATCAAAATTTTTGGCACGTTCAAAACTTACACACAGATTTTTATTTTTCTCAGGAGCTCTGAAGAAGCTCTCGAAATCCTACAAAAATTCAATTACATCGATACTCGAGCTACAATTCAATCACAGTTGAAAACAAAGTATGAGCCCATTTTGCACCAGTTTATGAAAGAAGTTACCACTGTCGAAAATATATTTCAGGTACATTGTTCACTTCCGCCTTTTTGGTCAGTGAAGTGTCACATTGTTTTCATGACTTTTATTATTGCAAGTCTTTTTCAATCTCAATCAATGTCCAAATACCACCAATACAAGCATTTTGGAAAATAACAACGCCAAAACGGTCTGCAAACAAATGCCGCAAATATAAGAAAAACACATTAGGAGATATAGATTCTATCCCTAAATAATTAGCCCATAAACAATGAAGCATAAAACTGTATAGTATGAAATATTATTAATTGTAACCAACACATTTTTAAAACTTTAAAATGACATCAATTGAATTCTGTATTTAATTTGCGTTTCAACATTACTTTTCATAAGTTTTTGAACTTTTTCTCAAAGAGATACTTCTTATATCAAGGCATGAATTTATTACGACTGTGTTGTTTCAGTGTTTACTTATCTCCAATAAATTTCATTTGAACTGTCCTGTGCTTTTTATTAAAGTAAATTGCTGATTTTTTTTTGCAGCTGGATTTCTATATTTGTCCTTGTTATTGGAATAATTGTTCAACCTGCAATTTATTTCAGAGTCAGAAAGCATCACCACCGCTTCTGCGTAACTATCCTCCGGTGGCCGGGAGCATATTTTGGGAGCGTTTCTTGTTTCACCGCATTAAGAGGCCTATTCTAGCTTTTCAAAAAGTTGACGCAATTACTGCTCTCAGTTTTAAAAACACCGTAAGTATTATTCTTGATAGAATATTTATTTGTGAGGGTGTTTGCAAGGACTTGTAATGTCATTGCAAATGAGCCTTACAAGCACCATGCCAGGGGGTCCAGCGACCATTGTAACTGAGAAATCGGCCTGTTGTAAGGTGCTGGGATTTGCAAATTGATGCCTGATTCCTATGGCAAATTTCACGAAAAGAACGATGGCGCCACTAAAAAAACTTGAAATGACCTCTCAAACTCAAAAAAAGCTGTTTTTGAAACCGACCCATTCGAAACGGTCACTTTCGGATAACGGTCGGTAACGGATCCACCATACATGTGACTAGAAGTGGTGCAACAGACCTCGTCTTTTCATCACTTACAATGTATTTCCCCATAAGGAATTGGCAGCCACTTTTCAAATGCAAATATCAAGTCAATCTGTGATTGTTTGAACGAAATGGAATTCAGAAATGGATTCCTTAGACGTTTAAATGGTTAAAACCTTCGTTAGATAAATAAGAACCGACGGGATAAATCCTATTTTTAGGGAAGACTGTAGTCAATGGGCGATTGTTTAAGTCTGTTAAGTGATAACAGACATGGACGTTAGCTCAATATTTAGCAGTATTTAGCTCTACGGGTTTATCCCATCAGTTCTTATTTATTTAATGATGGTTTTACCCATTTAAACGTACAAGGAATCCATTTCTGCATTCCATTTTGTTCAAAAAATCATAGATTGACTCGATATTTGCATTTGAAAAGCGGGTGCCAATTCCTTATGGGGATATACATTGTAAGTGATGAAAAGACCAGGTCTGTTGCACCATTTCACGTCACATGTATGGCGGATCCGTTACCGCGTAAAAGTGACCGTTTTGAAAATCCAAATTTTGAGGCGTTTTTAAGTTGATTTTTTGGGGGTTTCCGGTGATCAAAACACTCCGGGAAAATTCCTGTGACATCAGGAGCCTTAGTTCTTTCGATTAAAGCCATAAAAAATTGGTACAACAGGCTCATTTAAGGAGATAAAATTGAAATTGGTCCGGGAGATTTAGAGAGAGAAAATGTGTAACTGGGAGAGGCGCAAACTCCCGCGCAAGATTGTAATTTTTTACTGCTAAACACTCAGCCCCACAGCGCTCTCTATTTGTCTGTAGTAAATTCTTTTGTCAGGAATTGAGCCTCTACTGATTTGTACCAGTACAAATCGGAGCCATTGAGCTATGATTGTATATGCGTTTCTTTGGATTCAGGAAACCTGAACAGTCAAGAAGGAAGGAAATAAAATTTTTCTAGACACCCTGCGTTTGGACATCATCGCTGTGGGTCAACATCCCCTACCAACAGTTTTTCTCAGAACCACCACATCTGAGCGCCTCTTGTAGCGTACTGGCTTTTTTTTATAAAAAAATATTTAAAAAAACTTTTTAAAATTTCATATAAGGTTTTATAAACTTCATATAATAGGACGTATGTTTTAACTGATTTTCTTTCAGGTTTTCCAAGAATACCTGGTATTAGTAAAGCAGATGAAAGAGTTTGAAGACGAGAAGTATAACAATTGGTCCAAAAAAGTTGTCCCTCTCGTAGAAACAGCGCTGACCCAAGAAGTTATTGAGTTGGTAGAAAGTGACAGATTTGTAGGTTTGTATGATCTCTGGTCATATAATGAAACAAAATTTAAAGTCTTTGAACTGGTTTTTATCTTAAAAATCTAATTACGTCAATTAATCTGACTTTGAAGAAATCGAAATCTTAAAAAAAATGGAAAAATTTTTTATTCTTCAACAATCTTGACAATCGGAATTGCCATGATCCGGATTGTCAGTAATCAAGACTGATCTGGATGGATAGACCCACTGTTTTCTTATAATTTCCTTTCGTTTTGGGTTTGATTTTTAATTTTTCGATTATTGCGATGTTGATTTATCTGGACTAGATCGGTCCCACTTTGTCAAATAAAAAAAAGGAGGTGTTTGCATTTCCGGCATCTTGGAATTTTTTTGATGACGTAGGTCGGTACAGCGACTTTTATCATCAATTTTCTCGGAAATGGTATAATTTATGGAAAAAAGTCTTTCTCTGAAAAGTGCTTGAAATTATATCATGAGTTGATTTAAGCAAAAAAATGGGACATGATGGTTTGTTTTTCATACTTCGAATTCCGGATTTCGCTGACCAGGTTGTACCGACCTACGTCACAGGATAAACAAACCTCAAGATGCAAATACCTCCTTTTTTTTCTCTATGCCTTTTTGTTCAGTTATTTGAGACTTTGCTGAAACCTCCATATGTTATGAACTGCTTAATGCCTAGATTCATTCGTTCATTATGTTGTTTTTTTTTCTTTGGCCTAGATTTGGTGCTAAACGAGCAGAGCAAGAAAGCAAAAGAGAACAATCTGCGCATGATCAGCATGAAACATCTCAAGCAGTTACGATCCAGAACATCCAAGTCTGTGTCAAAATTCAAATCGCACACTAAACGGAAAAAAACTCAGAAATCTAAATTAGACATTGAAGACGCTCTTATTCCAGCAGTTTCGCCAACTGCTATGAGCCCGCTTGCACTCACCATGAAATGGCTCACAGGATCTCAGTCCAAAGCAGATGTTCTTTGTACGTAGTTTAATTCAATGTTGCTGTGTTATGGAAGAATTACCATATCAGACTTTGAATTTTACCAAATTTTGTTCGTTGAAGCATGTATTTTCTTAGAAACTTGCGAATTTTTAAACTGAATGTAACAAAAAAATCCACTATTTTGCATTAAGTTTGAACTAAGAAAAAGAGGATTGAACTTTTTTTTCTATGAGATTCAATATCAAAGAATTTTAGAGAAAATTTGCTTCTGTGCACAACTCAGCTCCTAAAGGCATCTTAAACTATGCAAAAGACGGGTAAGAAGTTTGAGACAGAAAAAACTACCATAAAAATCTCCTCTTTACAAAACTCTCTACTGCTAAGACTAGTTAGGAACTAAATGGGATCGGAATTGGAGAAAATTTCTGATGTAAAGAGATGGAAAGAACAAAGGATAAAAAAGAGTAAAGATTCTCATTTGTTTTAAAAAATCATAAAGGATGATATTATCTTCCAGCGTATTTCTATTGCTGACATATTTCTACCATCCATTTTTATCCTCTGGTGCGTGATCCATTATGCCTTGTCTCAGACTCAAACAAATGTTTCATAATTTTTCATGAGCCTGAACAAAACATTTTTTGGCTCTCTACTCAATTAATACCTGAAGGTTCCTATATATCCGCAATTTTGAAGTTTTAAAAACACCGGATCACCATTAATTTGATATCAAAATAAGGAAAATTTATCAAAGCCTTAAAATAATTTCTCTCAGTTTTTCTGTATCAATAAATCGGTATTTTTTTTTAAACCCTGTAGATTCGACAAAGTATGGGACCATCAACCCAAAGGCAAGAATGAAACGAATTCATACATTGGCCTGGGGTGAATTTATTGAAGACGCACTCCTCATTGAACTGAAATTGGGGATTCGTATGAATTTTACGGTAAGTTCACCTGTTGCTCCTGCACATTGTAAAGCGTCCCTGTTATCTGTGATGAGTTTCTCTCATCAGAACAATTCTTTAGAGTTTCGGTAAAACATTCAGAGACAATTTAATCCAAATGGAAAGGTTAGATAGAATTAGAATTCCAGATAACACTGTAAATTCACAGAATTGTTAAACACCCGGAAAGGAAAAGCTTTTCAACCGTATTAATTTTCTTCATTGTCTTGACTGCTTGTTCGAAAATTATGGTATTACAATAAAGAATGTCTATGAGGTTAGGACGGAAAATCCTAAGATCGACCTGAACATAATCAAAATCTTTGATTTATGCCTTTAAAGGTTTGCGTTGCTTTTTAATACATAAATGATTAGCTTCATTTATTGATATTATCATTACTCTATTATCAGTTCTACATATTACTAATTTATTCATAACTAGTTTGCTAAATATTTCAGGACTCCCTCTTCGAAGTGATTTCTGAAGCTAAGCTGATGGAACAACTAGGATTCAAACTACCGAATCTCATTCGGACACTTATTGCCATTGAAATTCCATTATTTGACGCCCACAGAATCATCAAGAATATGACCCATGAGTACTGTGCCCTTGTGAATCGACTCGATGTCCCTCAGGTACAGCTCTCTCATTTCACAATAATTCTTAAAAAAAATCTTATAATAATTAAAAGAATCCCTAAAATTTTGAAACTGGTTTTTAGTTTTTTTAACTGCATGGTTATTTAAATATTGTTGAAATCTCTTGCAGCTTCTATTTGCAAAGGACCACCTAAGGGACGTTGAAAACCAGTTACATCCGGGCTTGGTACGCATCAATTGGTCTTCGCTTCAAATAAAATCCTACGCAGAGAAGGTTCTACTGAAAATAAACAACCTGAAGAATCTGGTCATGCAAATGGATAGCTGCAGTGAGAAACTTGACCAGAAGATGTCTCTGATTGGTGCCTTTGACTTGTTCTCTCTCATTCAGTCCACTCATCGTCTGGGGACTATTAGTTGTTTTGTACGTTAACAGCTGAGTATACAATATCACTGAATAAATGGCATCGTAAAGCAATTTTTAAGGAAATGATGTACTGCTTGAGAGTCAAAATTCTCTACGATTCTGAAATACTATTATTTGCAAAGTGTAATTGTGTGTTGCATTTAGTAATGATTTTTTTTGTAATCTTGTGAGTAGGAAAGTAAAAAAAAAACAAGTGGCTAAGAAAAGAAAGAATCTTTAAATTAATAGTATTTGCATGAGAAATGTTCAAAAAATTCCTACGCTTTTTTGACTCGGAATGTAAAATTCTAAATAAGTTTTCTACCTGCCTCTTTTTTTCCAACCTTTTTGCAATTAAAATTACTAAAGAGAATAATTTCAACAACTTTCACCATTGGGATGTATTTACCATAAAAAGAACTAAGTGAGAATGGATGCTTAAGGATACTCATATCCATTTAAAGTGTGTAGGATTTGTGTTCTACAAAGTTTCTTTTGAGTTTATTCATCCGCACTTAGCACCTATAGCACCCCTTAGCGTAAATGCATCAATTTGATCTAATGATCGTGCATAAATCAATAGGCAGTGAATTTTTTGATAGTCTTAGGAAATTGAAACCAGGCTTTCATTTCGATTACACTCATTTTGATATGGAAAAATTCCAAGCAATCAATATTTAACACATTCACCACCAAGTTGGTCACAATGATCGTTTTTTTGTTTATGTCAGGCCAAACCTGTAACAGTGGCCGGAGAGTTCTCATCATGCCTCTGAATTATAGGGTTCAGTCTATGGACCCTTTAAGAAACGATTCGTAAAGCAATAACTACATTTAAAAAGCCTTTAGGCAACTTTAATGTCGCAGCAGTTCAACAGCACTCAAATATCATCATTTTTTCAAGTTTTTGTGATCCGGCAGGACCAATTGCAAAAGAAGTAAGAGGTGGTCATTAAGGGGTGAGCAACGATTTTTCCCAAAGTTTTCATTCTGATCTCAACTACAATAATCTCATTTTTCATATCCAAAAGCAAAGCGAATCTATTCAACTAATTTTACTTGTATAGATATCGATAATCAACTTTTTTTCTTTTGTTGACAGGATTTCTTTGAAAAGTTGGAGGCAATTCAAGTGGAGAAAATGAGCAAAATCCTGAACCTGTACAAGCTACTCGGGCCAATTTTAATGAAACTTGAGTCCACGGTCCTACAAACTAACTCTGGCAAATCTCCTTTCATGATATTTTACTACACAAATTGTGAGAAAAAAATTTTTCACACTTTCATTGACGTATGCTTGCAAAACCTCAGAGGATTTGATGATTTTCTGAATGGTAAAGAATCAGTAATCATGATCGAAGCTCTACTAGGCCCTCAAAATGTATATTTGCAACCAAATTTTGTTCAAATTTACAATTTAATAATACTTACCGTGAGACGTTTTATGGAGAATTTCAAGAAAATCCCTCGCTGGATGCATGGAACTTGTCTCTTGTGCCCGGAAGTCTTCTCCGAGGACAAAGAGTTCAAACATTTATTCTCATTTTATGATGATTTAATCGGTGTAAAAGCAATTAATGATTTGTTGTTACAAATTAAACTAACAGCCCACCGTTTAGTAGAAGACTTGAGTAGATACTTGTCCAAATGGAGGAAGTATCAAAGTGTTTGGTTGCTCGATAAAGATGCAAATGTTGAGAAATTTGCTGCGCAAAACCCAAAATTCAATGCATACGAAGAGAAGTTCAGTTTTTACTCAGACATGTTAGCAGAATTGAATGCAATTGAAACATTTACAGACATTCAATGCATAAGAATTGACTTGACGAAACTGATCGACAGTCTGAAAACTCACTTGGTTCTTTGGAAAAATAAACTTGGTGAGAAGCTTGCCAATGACACTCGAAAGGTGATGAATAATTTCCAAGAAAAAATGCTTGAGTTAAAATCAAGCCTGGAGACAGGCGTGAGCGAAGTTGTATCTTTTAAAATCGTGCTCCAAGCTATCGCGGATATCAAGCTTCTTATTGTTGATGCAGAGCTTATTTTTGAAGAAGTCGATGAGCGATATCACATCATGTCACTGCAGAACATCGCAGTGTCAGCTGAGGATCGGCAGTTATTCTCCTCCCTCAAATCAGACTGGCATTCGCTCTTAGATTTATCCATGTATCGGAAATTATCTTTAGAACCAGCCAAGTCTGTATTCGCTCAAATAACAAGGAATGACATCATGAAGTTTGGCGAGAGCACAGAAGTGTTTACGCAGCGCTACTACGAAGAAGGACCCGGCTCTATAAAGCAAAACCTCAAACTCGGAGAAGGAATAATCGTAGAGTGGAGGACGTTATTTGCATCAATGAACTCTGAGAGGGACGAAATGCTGAAAGTTGAGAAGCTTTTCGACCTGCCAAAGTTCAGTTATGATAGTTACCTGGCCGCTTTTGCACACTTTCAGGGCATGGAAGTCATCTACGAGTTGTACCATCGACAGAAAGCTGCTCGGGAGCAGTGGGGTAAATCGTCTTGGCTCAACTTCAATTCGCAGATTCTGTATGATGGAATCGAGGTGTTTCTGGCGGAGTTTCGACACCTTCCAGAAGCTGTTCAGTCGCTGGAAGCCGGGGGAGCCCTCCTCACAACAATGCTCCAGTTCAAAGAGTCCATTCCGCTCTTCGTCAAGCTTAAAAATGAGGCGATTCGCAGTCGACATTGGAAAGAGCTCATGAACAGGACAGGCAAACACTTTGACATTTCCACAGAAGCTTTCAACCTGTTGTGCGTCTTTGAGATGGAGTTGTATGACCACAAAGCAGCGTGTCTCGAGATCATCAACAATGCCCTCAAAGAGCTGGCGATTGAGCTGAGTATCAAGGATATCGTCACAACATGGGAGGCAATGCAGCTCCAGATAGTAAAATATGAAGGCAATAAGAGTGATTGTGACAGCAGCTACATGCTTGGAGATGTTTCGGGAATTCTATTGCTTTTGGATGATCATACCATGATGTTGCAGACGATGGCCAATTCGGAGTAAGTGCCTTGTGTTGCTTTTAAAAACAGATAATGATGATTTATCACGAGATGTTTTAAAATGATTACATAATTCATCATTTTCTTGATGGATGGAGTAAAATCGGTATTACTTTTGAACAAAATTTCTTGGATACCAAAGGAAGGGTTATAATACGGGCCGTTTTTGGGCCCATTCTAGCTGAATTTCCTCGACTCTACGAATGTTTGCCTAATGAAGGTTCATCTTAAACAAAGAAAATCATAATTTGGTCATTTTCGGGTTCTTTTAGAGTCTAATATTGGCCTTAAGATGGCTTTGAATCTCAATTTTGACGAAAAATGCGAGTTTCGTAGGTTTGCGGTCAAATGCAAAAAAATCCGTATCTCTGGCCGAAATAGGCACTCAGACTCATGTTTAGGCCAGTATCAGATTTAAAAAGAGACCAAACACTATGATGCATTCCATCAATTATTATTTTAATTTTCAGTTTTTAATAAACTCAAAATGCAAACTTAACTGAAAAGATCTTGCTCAACAACTTTAAAAGTTCAAAGTTTTCAGTCGAGAAAGAACGAAAAATTACTGAACTGTCGGAATATATTCTACCCCTTATCAATTAAATTTCAGTTTGTACAATGTTGAATTTTCTCTACAGTTTTGTCGGATCTTTTCTGCAAACAATTCAAAAATGGGAAATGAATCTTTCAAATGTAAGTGAAGTTCTGGATGAATGGGTTAGCTGTCAATCTCTCTGGCTGTATTTAGCCGTTGGAGTTTTTTCAAATTCTATTCTATCGGAGCAGCTCCCCGAAGAAAGAGAAATATTTGATCAAGTTGATCAAACGTACAGAAAGGTAATTTTATGAAAAAACTATTATTGAATTTGTTTGTGCTTAGCAAATTTAAAAAAGAGAAAAGAGCAAGCATCGCACTGCTTCCACATTTTCACACATCTTCTTTTCCAACCATTCAAAATTGATGTGAACTTCTCAAAACTTTCATTTTGGAAATAAATATTTGTAGAATTCGTTATCTAATACATTTCGAACAGTTGAAAAAATTTAAAGATGTCAGTCTTAAAATTGTGAAGAACGGGCGTATCTGCCATCTATATGTACGTACACAATAGGAATCCATATTTATTAATGAATTGTCGAATATGGATAGCAAGAGTCGCAAGATGCGTAACTTAGATTGCGCCGTTGCATGTCTTGCTCTTATTCTATGTTTTCAAAGGAAAACCAATCAACAGTTTTTTTTAAAATTTCCTTTAAATTTCCTCACTCATCCTGAAGAATTCACATAAAATTGCAAGGAAAATGTTTTCTTACTTTTCCTAGGGGAAAATAAAACATAATCAAAGATTTTTGAGGTACTCATTTTTTGCATTCAGCCATCAAGAGGTATTGAATGTAATGTACTCAGTCATGTTAGATTCATCAATCAATTTTTATTTTTTTCAGTTCTTTGATTTTTGCTGAAAATCAAGTGATGCTGTATGTAATAATGACAAAATATTTTATGAACATTTTCAAATGGTTTTTACTTTCTACTCATACATCTTAATTCTCTTCAGTGTTTTTCTCTTAAATGCTGATTTTCACATCATTGCAGATAATGATTGAGGCCTTCAAGAACCCACGTGTCTTAGACCAGTGTCTCGATAGTTCCACCAGAATACCAGAGTTTCATGATCTCCTCCTGAAATTGGAGCTATGTCGCAAGGCCTTAGATCAGATTTTGGACAGAAAACGCATGATGTTCCCTCGCTTTTTTTTCTTGTCAGATGATGAACTGTTGGCCATACTGGGAACCCTGAAGCCCTTTCACATCAAAAACTTCCTGATCAAGGTTTGTAGCTTCCAGCTGTTACGAGGTCTGTTAGATTAGAAACCGGATTTTGGTGATAATTAGCTCAGAATGCATCCGAATTAGGTTTTCTTGAATTTTCCTGATAGCTGAAAGTATACTTAAGAACGCTACGTTCACAAATTTGAAAAATCTTCAGTAGCTTCATTGGTATGTGGCTTGAAGTAAGGCAACCTCTTGGGTGTTTTGCGATTTTTATGTTTGACCGAACTTGTCTCCCTTTTTTCGGTCAAGCACTACAGTTTTCAACCCATAAGGATGATTGGAGTTTTGTCTCCATATCGTAGCCGTACACTTAAGTATTTTCACTGAAAATTATCCTATCCAAAAATGTAGGATCATTGTTAGAACGTTCAAGCAGCTAAAGGAAAATTGATATTTGGTTGGATTTTTGTGTAACGGACAACGATCAAGGGGCAAGTGTACCTGAAACTCGATGCATGTCTACTTATTCTATCAAAATTGTATGTACAGAGCCCTCAGAAACATTACACTGTTCAGCAAGCTCGAAACGACCATGTTCGAGCACTTTTGCCCGCTGCACTTTATCCATGTGACAAATGTCAGTTGCCGTTGACGGTCAATTCCTGTGCTCCTCATCTTCGACAAACTTTTGACCACTTTTGAATCGTTTAACCCACTCAAAACAGTGAGAACAACTCATAAAATGATCTTGTTATACCTTACTTAGCATACCAAAAGTTTCGATACAAAGTACATCGAGTTTAAAACAAAATTCAATGTTAAATCTTTGCTCTATCAGTGATCGCATAATGAAAATTGTAGAACGCACCTGACTTACTCGTATTAAAGATGACACAGAATAAACTCTGATCAAAATAAACAAAATCTGTGAATCTATCGTTCTTCGGTATGTTATCAGCTATCAGAAAAGTCCAAGGAAACCTAATTTGGCCGCACACTGGGCTAGTTATCACCAAAATCCGGTTTCTAATCTAACAGACCTCGTAGACAGAAAGAAAAAATCTTATGGCTAATATGGATATCTCTGTTATAATGACTATTATGAAATTTCAATTTTTTCCTCTTAGTTTTTTAAATTAATTTTAACGAAATGCAATTTTGGAATTGGAGCCCTTCTTGCTTTTCTTGCTCTTGGAATTATCTAACTTGTCTACTACTAGAGAAAGAGCTGAAATTTTATTAGTTACAGTCACAATATTAAACTGAAATTCCCGCACATACCCTAAATTTACACTGACAACAAATTGAACTTTTTTTAAAGCAAGCTAAGTCTATTTGTAAATTCTCCATACCACAAAACGTCGATCAGCTATCAAATAACAAAAGCAAATCTTTAAGCAAACATGCAGCATTCACCGAAAGTTTCCTGCACGTAAAATTTTCTTCGTAATTCGGTGAATAATTTTTGTCTATAGTTGTTTGACAATATACAAAGCTGGGATTTTAACGAAAGCAGTGAAGGGAAATTTACCGTTTCGGCTGTTGTATCCAATGAAGGTGAAGCTATCAAGCTGAAGTCTCCGCAGCAGGCTGTCGGCTTTCTAGAAGAATGGATGAATTCGGTGACGGACGAAATTTGCAAAACCAGCTGGCATTTAATCAAGAAAGCTGTTTACGACTATGGGAAAGTCAAACAGCCACGTGCAGAATGGATTCTCAACTTTCAAGGAATGATTATCTATGCCGCTAATTCAGTCTGGTGGACAGAGGAAGTTGAGAATGTCTTCAGCAACATAAATAAGGTTTGTAAATATTGCAGTACAGAAAGGAAAAACCACCCAAGAAAAATTCAGTTTGAAAGTGTAAAGCAATAGAAATGAACTCACTTTCACGTCAATGATTAAAATGTCTTTGCAAAGGTGTTTCGGTCTCCGACCAAATCAGTCGCACTAAGGATGGACTGGAACTCAAAACACATCTGTGGGGACATTTCAATCATTGACCGGCAAATAAGTTAGCTTTTATTATTCTAAATTTTTATACTTGGTGTGTAAATATTGCCTTGAGATTTCTATCAATCGAATTCATTCATAAAAATTTCCCCCAAAATTTCTCTTTTTTACACAGCTTACACTTCTAAAAAAATTGTTTGAAAGTTAATGTTAGGTAATGCTTAATGATGTGACTTTTCGCAGATATTTTTCTATCCAGTGAAGCCAAACTGAACTATTATATCAGAACAGAGATGATTTTATGCTGATAGAACAACTGATTTGAGTAAAACCTTTTTGTGATAAACTCGAAGTTTAACCTCTGGCCAGAAATAAATTTTTTTCGTGAGTTGTAATCCTCTTTTCTTTCTCTTTTGAAACCTGCGGTATTTACTTTTCCAGGGTGAAGTGAATGCAATGAAAGATTATCTCAGCATCCAAAATGAACAGCTGGAAGAACTTGCAGCTTTTCTAGATCATCTATCACCTCTGGACAGGCGGAAAATTAGTAACATGATTGTAGTCGATATCCACTCCCGTGATGTCATCGAAACTTTCGTGCAGAACAACGTCAACTCAAACGAAGACTTCGAATGGAAGAAACAGCTACGGTTTTATTGGGAGAAACCCATGGATAACTTCATAATCAGACAGTGTTCCACAGTTATTTCTTATGGTTTTGAATATTCTGGGCTCAGCGAAAGACTTGTCATCACACCGCTCTCAGACAGATTTTATCTCACTGTAACTCAAGCTCTGTACTTTCATCTTGGAGCCTCGCCAGTAGGTAAGAGTTTGCTCAATATAGACTGTTAGGTTATTTCTACCTCCTCCTTTTTAATTTAAAGCCCAACCAGAAAATTAAGGTAGATGAACATAAATCAAATAATTTTTCTTAACCTTTTTTAGGATCGGACCTAAATAGTCTGTGAATCTGCCTAAAAAAATTACTCAACATAATGTTAAATGACAAATATTATTTTTTTACACCAAATAATTCTTAATTTATATTTCCATTACTGGCTTTAATTATCTAATTTTCAGAAATGATTATAGTTAAATTTTAATCACAGTATGTTCTCAAATATTATTTTATACAATCGCTAAATTGGCAGTAAGTTGGAAGTGTAGCCAATGTCTGTTACATTTCAGAAAACTGAAATCTCAATGAAGAGGAAAAAAGCGCATCTAAGCACTATTTTCCTCCAAAGATTTCTCTCTTGTGCTTGGATGAGCTTTTTCCCTCTGTATTGAGATTTTCAGTTTTCTGAAATGTAACGCACGTTGGCCACACTTCCAACTTACTTTCTATACAATGGGTGCGTCTACCGCAGTCAGTTTGTGAATCACTTAATTGGCTGTATTCTGATACAGTTTGCTTGCTTTACCGCTTTTTGCCCCAACTCAGACTCTACCATAGCTCTGTTACTATTTGCATGACGAATCAACCTGTTTTCACAGTTTTATTGATGTGTCTCTCGGTATTTCCCAGGTTTTGCTGGTGCTGGTAAAAGTGAAACAGTCAGGGATCTTGCCAAAACACTCGGTTTGTTGTGCATCGTCATCCATTGTACTAGCTCAATGGAACTTGGCGTCTTCCAGTTGTGGCTGAAAGGTCTTTGCCAGTGTGGTGCTTGGGGTGTCTTTGAGAATTTAAGCCAAGTCAATTCCTCTACGCTCTCTGCTCTGTCCATCCGAATCCAGTCTATATTCTCTGCATCAAAAAATAACCTGAAGAAACTTAATTTGGACGGTCAAGTGCTTGACTTCAAAGACTGTGTCAATCTCTTTGTAACAGTTAATCCGACAAGCAATTCTTCATTTCCAGAACATCTAAAATCATTATTCCGGCCGGTTGCATGCACCATGCCAGACCTAGAATTTATATCCTTTGTCTTACTTTACTCCAAAGGCTTCACCTCTGCGAAGATTCTGTCCAAAAAAATCACTGTGCTATTCAAGTTAGCAGCTGTCAAACTATCGCAACAGCTCCAGTATGATTTTAGTATACGGACGCTTAAACTGACTATTGTAACTGCTGCTGCCAAGAAAGAAGATGTAACGGATGAAACTGTTCTGATTGTGCAGGCTTTAAAGGACGTGTTTTGGCCAAAACTAGTTGAGAGTGATGTTCAACTATTCAACGAGCTCTTGAAAGATATTTTCGCAGAAGTTTATTATCATCTGACTGTTGATAAAGATTTACTGGCTGTTATCAAAATGTCTTTACAGGAGAACAACTACATTTTGGTGGAAAAGCAAATCGAAAAGTGTGCGCAATTATACTACATGCTTCAAATCCACCATGCGTGCATGCTTGTTGGTCCATCTGGTAGTGGTAAATCGGTGATTTTTCAGACGCTGGAGAAAATTCAGAAGAATTTACGTCTTTCAGGAAAGATCCACCCTGTAAATCCGAAGAGCTGTTCTGTTGATGAACTTTTTGGATGTGTTGATTCAAGAGGGGTGTGGAGAGATGGTGTGCTCAGTTCAATTTTCCGAACAATAAATGCTGCAAACTACGCAAAAGAAAGAAAATACATTTTATTCGATGGAGAAATCGACTCAACCTGGGTGGAAAATCTGTCTTCGGTGATTGACCAGACAAAATTGTTGACACTTGGGAATGGAGAACGGATTCAGCTACTGTCACACTGTGCTTTGCTCTTCGAGGTCTGGAACGCATAAGTATATTTAATCATCTCCTCATTGATAGCTAAACTTGGAAAATGCATACTTCAAAAGCTTTCAAAAACTCAATTCTTATTGTAAGTTTTGGGAGAAATTGAACGAAATTTACTGAAAAAAACTTTTAAGATATATTCTTTACCTTTGTTTGCAAGAGAAATACTGGAAGTTTGCAAGAAACAACATTACTCAATCCTATATCCTCCCCACAAAAAAAGAAAAAAAAAAGGATTGTCGGGAATCTTGAAATAGTGCACTTTAAAATGAATTTTTCAGAGTTTAGCTGTTCATTTGTTGATAGCTGTAGATTTAGTGATAGGTCGTTGGAAGATATTTTTTGTTTAATTTCAGCATTTATTCTTAATTCTAGAGGATTTTTTATTTACTTTTTTTTTTGACATTGAATCATTTAAAGTGTCAAAGGAAGAGATTTTTTTTGTTCAAAGTTAAGAAGTCCATTGTCAATCTAGATAGAGTTAGACAAAATAGTCATATCTTCATTGCAGTGTTTCAAAATCTCTCCTGTTCTAAATTTTTAGAAGGAAACCAACCAACATCCTTATTCAAACATTATTGAAATTTTTCTTGCCCATATGAAGGTTAGTAACTTCATAAAAGTTTTAGCAACAATTTGGTTAGTTTACCTCCAAAAAATTAAAATAGGCGATGAGATTTTGAAACAACGCAATGTAGATTTGACTGTTTTGCTTACCTATCCATCTATCTTTAATAGTACTCAATAAAGTCAAAATTTCCTCTGTTAAGGCATGTAGTTTACGAACCTATTGTTGGGGCAAGACTACATTTTATACCCTACTCTTTTGAATCTGACCAATGAAAAAAGTTCTGTGCATTTCACCGCTTGTATTACTTAATTTTCTCACTGAATAAAAATGTCCAAAAATGTTATAGGTGAGCCATCTTCACAACACGCCTCCAGCAATTGTGTCTCGATTTGGGCTAATTTATGTCTGCCCATTGGACTTGGGTTATGAGGCGGTTTGGGAGCGATGGTTGAATAAGTTCTGTCACGATGAGAATATCAAATCCCTCAGAGAATTTTCAAAGAAATACCTGAAACCCATCTTGAAGTTCATCCTGGCCGAAAAACATGATTTTGAAGAGAGGCGACTGCCTGTTCAAACCGTGTTACCTTTATCAAGCTTGAACATGGTATGTGTATTTTTTGCACTTATTTATTCAATTTCACCTTCTTTACCTTACATATTCTGGTACTTCTATCTCTTGCTTTCCTATTGTTTGACCCGAATAAGTTGATCACAATATTTGCATTTTAGTTCACAAATGCCAGATTTGTCTTTTTATATTCTATTTGGTTTGACTTTTAAATTTTTGTGAAAGATTAATTTAGTATTTTTTTTTTTTTTTTTACTGGTACAGTGCCTATTGTATTTTTATCTTTTGAAAATTCTTTTAAATTCATTGTAAAATTGTGGATGTAACGTTATTATTCCTAATCGACCTTCCTCTTGTTTTTTTTCTCCTTGTAGGTTACACATGTTGTGACTTTATAAATTCCTGTCCTACATTAATCATCTGTTAAACTTCTCTTTACTTACTACATTTTTTTAATGCTAAATACAGGTAACTCAATTCTGTTTTATTATGGACGTTCTATTACAAAACATCAAATCAAAAAAACACAAAATCCCGGATGAAATCTTAGAGGCACTTTTCATCGAGGGGTTGTATGCATCTTTTGGAGTAATTATCACAGCTGCTGAAAGAAATGCATTTGACTCTTTTGTTAAAAATCTAACCGGCTTCTCGTTGGTTGATAGAGACGAGAACAACCTCGTCGGATTGCGTAAGTACTTATATGTTTTAAACCATGTAAAAAGGAGACATGAACTTCGAGTTAGCTATTCTTTTAAATTCTAAGGCGTTACCAAATTTAATAAAATGTTCAAGCCAAGCATTTTTTAGATAAACACAGCTAAATTTATCCAAGCCAAACATAATAAAATCTGTCTAAAGGAAGGGAAATGGTGGAAGAAAAACATGTCAAACCAAGGGATATCAGAAACTGTTCTGGTGCATATGATGGTTTCCTCCAGCCTAAGGAGGTCTCCAAAATTATATTTTTACCTTTGTCTAAAAAGAGATAAATAAAGTAAACCATGTTAATGGCTTTCTAACCAAAATTTTGACCGCTGTAAAATTTCAATGTTTTAGAGAGCTTGCCATCAGAAAAGTCTTTGTACGACTGTTACGTAGATGTCGAAAAGAAGTGCTGGTCAGCATGGGAGGATGCAATATCGCCATCTGCACCAAGTGGAACATTTTGTCCTAAATTCCGTGACATCTTCATTCCAACTGCTGATTCCTCAAAATTACTCTCCTACTTGCAGCGGATAAATGAGGTGCAAAATAGTTAAATGATTTAAAATTATAGATTCTAGTAAGAATTTCAATATTTTAAACAGCGATCCTCATCATCTTGAGTATGTTTACCCTTTGCACATGAGTATTTACTCCCATTCGGCAGAATCGTTCTATGGGTTTCGCTCAAGTCTTGACTTGCGGTCAACGAAAACTCTCTTGCTGATAGATGGAAAAATAATGAACTGTACACAGTGAAAATTAGTATTGATTAACGGAGATCCTTTGTTCACTGCACAGAAATAGTACTAAATATCTTTAAAGAAATCAAATGTGCACTTTTGTTCTCCTTTAAAATTAACAATTTTGTGGTAGAAAAACAAGTTTTTTTTTCTATTCTAGGCATTTATCAATTATATGAAGATGCACGATTTTTACATCACTGTAACTGGGTCAGTTTCCTTCTGCTGAATGTGATCCGTTTTAATCTCAAATGATACTAATTTTGTTAGAGGGCCTGTAGTACAAAAAAAAAAATTGACTGTCCATTGGCGACAAGGCCTTTAATTCACAGCGTTCAAATTTTCAGACGTCAAGATTTTGTCCAGTTCAGTAAAAAAATCAGATCTTAAAGAATGGGAAAAAAACAAAATCTCAGACCAATAGACCAAATTGCGAGCAGTTTAATTTATTATTTTGCCATTCAAAGGCTTATTTCACTACAATCTGGCAATTTTACTAAATTTTTTGTTTAGAACAATGTTATTATTGCGCAAACCTATACACCCACAATAACTCCAATTCGATTTGACATTTTTGAACATTTATAGTCTTATAATGTTTGTATCTGGAACATTTTTGTATGCTCCGTTATCATTAACTCAATGCTGAGTCTATGCGTTTTGAGGTCTCTTTCCCAATGGATGGTTAAATTAAAGAATATCTACTTAGTAAATTTTTGCCTAAATCAGTACCAGTCAGTTGTTCGTATCATACTAATTGTCTTATTTTGTCTTTTTTTCAGCATTATTTCAAAGGAAAACCCCAGTTGGTAAGTTGAACCTTTGTTTAATCCAAAATGTCTTAAAAACACGGAGTGTATGTAATATTTTCCTACAAACATTTTTCCAATCTGCAAGTTTCAATTTTAAACAAAGCTTTCAAATTTCGTAACCCAAAATTTCCAGAAAACGATAAAATTTTAAGGAAATTCTATATATAAACATGAACGCAAAGTAATCATCTCATTTGGTATTGGTTGTGTAAAAACACAAGTTCAAACTAATATCCAAAAATGCTTATATTTCTAGGGCTTAATTTTATGATATTGTTATTTTATTGTCTTGTGTTGAGTTCTCGCCTTTTTATAATTTTTTTTTTCTTGTAAAAAAGAAATCAGCATTAACAAATAAAATTAGTCTTTACTGTCCTCAGTGAGTCCGAAGTTCAGTATTAGTTAGGGAACTTAATTGATCTTTCATATCTTGTGAAACATCTACTCACCTGTTCTCTTTGATTTAGGAATTGAAAAATCCAACTGTGCTGATCAGCGAAGGAAGCACATATAAGACAGCAATTATGAACAATTTCTTACGAAATCTCAGCTGTGATGAGTTTGTAAGTTGATTCTTTGCTCTTACGCCTCTTTTAAAATACACTAAGTTTTTTCTCCTTTTTTTTTGAGAAATCTGAAGAGAATAACCAAAGTTCAAGGGAGATTTTATTTTTTTCATAACTATTTCTTCCATGTAATTTTAGCGAAGTCAAAATTGAATTTATCTTTTAAAACAGAATATTTCACAGCAAATTCTAAAATTTAAAATTCTTACGATTTTTATCTGAAATTCAGCTTTCAGTTTCAATGAATGTAATCATCATTCTAGAGCAGAGTAATTCTCTCTCTATTAGAGTCTCATAAATTGAGAGAATGTAGAATTCCAAAGATAGCTCTGATATTATTTGGTTTGCTGGAGTGAATTATTTTATGGAGTAATCTGCTATAGTTTAACACTTAAAAATTGTTTACGCAGCAAATTTTATCGTCAGTCAAGTTGTAATCCGTACCCCTTTTTTTCTCAAGGCACAACTGAAAATCAGTTTCTCTGCAAGAACAAATTCTTCTGTCGTACAAAGCTGCTTAGAAACAATGATATCTAAACGCACAAAAAGTATCTATGGGCCTGCGGAGAAGAAATTGGTATGCTTTTTTGATGACCTCAGCGCACCAAAGGTAGGCATATCTTTATTCATTACTTTAAACTCATCTTGATATTGTTTACCTCCTACAATTGTAGTATGTTTTATCCTGCAACTGTATCCAATGTAACCTGCCATTTTCCTAACGTAGTCATAATGAATACAGATGGAAGTGCAAAAAATATCTCTAAATCAGTGGAAAATATCCTGTGCCCTCAAAATTCTCGTAGAGATGAAATTATAAGTTACTAAAAATAATCAAAAGGCATTGAAAATAACTTATATTTGTCGTGTAACATAACACAGGGTGTCTATCATCAGGATTTTTCTGGTTTTCCCTATTCTATCAGGATTTGAAGTCAATCAGGACTTAATCCAAATTTCATCAAGATTTGAGGAAAAGGCGGTCTTGAAATCAGGATTTGGAAAAATTATGAAATCTGGATTTAGCTGTCAAAAATCAGGATTTCCCAAAATGAAAAAAACCAGACACCCTGTAACAGGTACTCTTAGAACATTACCCTTAATTTTGATTTCCTTTTTATTTTGGAAGGCGGATGAGCATGGTTGTCAACAAGTAATAGCGTTTTTGCGCTCATTGTATGAGAAACATGGTTTCTATCATCAGGGTGAAAACATCCAGTGGAGAAATGTCAAAGATTTAGGTACGTAACAATTTATTATTACATGTATTTAAAAAAAAAAAAAAATTAAGTGCTGGCACCAAAAATTCTAATTTGAATGGATTAATCATCAATTCACATCGTACTGAACTGATAAACAATAAATTAGAAAAAGTATACAGTACATATAGCACTCGCTCAGGAGCTCTGTGTTAGTACGGCAACCAAGTCAGACTCCGCTTAACTTCACAATAGAGTCTGTTCCCCCATTTTAAGTCCTTGTTAAGTGAATCTATGTATTTAAGCGGGTCATCAGATGAAACTCAATTTTTTTTTATCAAGAGCATGCCAGTGAAGTTTTCCGTGACTGCTCCTGTAAAAGGGATCTACACCCTAGATCAAGCACTCTTATCCAGCGACTATCGGTGGATACCTTTTAAAGATATTAATTAATGGTAGACTTTAAACAGTTAGTGTTGCGGTTGGGGTCTACAGAATGGTAATAACACTTCTCATTAGAGAGAATGCTCAGCTTCTTTTTAACCCCAGATTTGGTCTGCATCAAATCAAAAACAGCTGGGCTGAGTGAGCCTACTCTACCCTAGGTCATCATACTATCTCTCATAAATTTTTATTTTTAACTTATTAAGAAAAAATAAGGGCTCTAAGAAATCTGTTTGATCGCAAAGTTTATCAAAATTATGGCACAATAGGGAATTTGCCTCCAGGAGACTTCAATTTTGTGATTTTAGAATTTATTTTGGAAATTTTCATTGCTCTTCACAAAATCTGAAGAGAATAATTGATTTATTGAAGTTTTAACCTTGTCTAATGGCACACTCTCCTTGAGTTTGAAGAATAAAAGATTTCCAAGGTTTTTATGCGACTGTTTTTATTTTGTTTTAATTAAGGCTATTATGCAGCAATGTGCTGTGGTCACAACGGAAGCGGAGTTGATCCACGATTCTTGTCTCTGGTGTACGTTGTCAACGTGACCCAGCTCTCCGACTTAATTGTCACGAATATATTTTCAACAATTTTGCAAAATCATACTCGTGATTTCATAAAAGATATACAGACGATCGTTCCAGATGTAATCAAAGCAACTTCCGAAATGTTCCAAGTAAGTTTCGTAGAACAATTATTTCAAATTTTTACACAGATTCCAATTTTGTATACTACTGAAGGGTTTTTTCTCTTTATAGAGCTTTGTCTTCGGAATTATCGGGGTCAAAAGTGACCTTTGTCTATTGTGTCGCTGACACCGATAGTAAGTATTGGTGACTATCCGTGGGGAACAGTATCCTAGTCCAAATTTGCTCAAAATTGAGCCACTGCTGATAAAGTGGAAAACTGCTTCTGCAAATATTTTGGGATAGAAAATTCCCAAAAATGTCAAACCAAACCAGAGTTATGGCGGATTAAATTTTGCAACTCCAAAAACGCACTTTCGAGAAAAACTCTAAAAAATTCTAATATTGGATAAATAAGTAAGACGAGCTGTACAAAAAATGAATGAAACAATGAGTCAGTAATATTTTCTTCTCAACTTGCTTGTATTTGCAATCAGGAAATCGTTTTCACCAATACCACTTAGATTCTATATAGGTTGTATTTTCGAAAGTGTTTAATTGTTTTTGAAAGTTTCTGAATGGCGCTGTAACGCAGAGGCCAAATCTTGTCAGGAAAAACAGGCATAGTTTAACATACTCGAGATGATTCACCATGACACTTAAGTCAGTGCATTTCAGTGCAGTTTCAGCTCATTGATAGGTGATGCGTCTTGCATGAGTGCTGACAAAACTCAGCTCCCGGATTCAACTTCTAACATTCATATTAATCTACTCTTTCCCCAATTTTTGCTGGTTCCAGATATTGAGAACAGAAGCCCCACCAATACCACACAAATTCCATTACGCTTTCAGCTTGCGAGATTTCAGCAAAGTTGTGGCTGGGCTGTGCCTCACAACCAGTAGGATTTTCACCACCGCCCAACAGTTCATTAGGGTCTGGAGGAATGAGTTCACCCGAGTGACCTGTGATCGACTTATTACAAAAAAGGTAATTTTGCCCTTTTTCAGGTTTGTTTTTCCGATTCCATTTGTTTCTGATAGCTGAATAAAGCATGAGTCCTGGATTTGAGTGTCCTAAATTTTAGGATATTAACTTATGCAATAGCAGGGTGGTTGCAGGCAGAGAAAATCCAGGAAGTTCAGGAATTTAAGCGACCATGGAAAAGTTAGAGAAAATTAATGAGTTCATAAGAAAAGTTAGGAAATTCTGCAATGTGCGCTGTCCCAGTAACTTCAACATAGAATATATTAGTTTTTACTCCCCTCTAAAGATCGCTACTCGACTGTTTCAGGATGGTGTTTGCTGAAGGTGGCTTTAATTTTAAAAAGAGTAAAAGTATCCACCGTTTCAAATATTGTAGGGTAGAGCCATCCATTAATATTTTATCGCTTCTAGAAGCAAGGGACTGGGTTTTTATACAGCATTACACAAAAAAGTCACTAGGACAGGTGTTTTAAAAATTGTAAAAATAGTAGTGAAAAATTCCTGAACATCCCTTCAGGGATTTTTTTTTTAATTCATATAATATGAAGGAAATTACCTTGATTTAAGTCACTGAAATATTATTATGCAATCCTAAATACCCTGAATAGTTTTCATATCGATGGCAAGTCTCTTCAAATGTACAAAATGATTTTGGAATGTAAATTGTGTCAATTCTAGAAAATAATTTCTAACTTCTGCTCTATGATCATGTGCCTGATTCAGGATAACAGTCTGATTCAAAATTTATTTGAAGGGGTTATTGAGAAGTACTTTCCCAGTAGCCTGAACTATGTAATTCGGGATCCGCTGCTGTTTGGTGACTTCCGCAATGCTGTAATTGGAGACGCAAATCCACGCAGGGACTATGAAGATTTACTCGACTATGATGCTGTATTTCACCTCTTTGAAGAAGTAAATTTTTTTAAATTACTTAGTTATTTATTTTTTATTTTATTTTAGTTTTTATTATCTTATTTTATTTTTGCCACAGCAGTGCTGATAGAATTGTACTGTTGCTAGTGTAATCGAAAGAGGGAAAAACGGACGATATGAAATGCTCACTTTTTTTTGCAATTTTAGGTCTGTGAGAAATGCAACTTGAACATCATTTTATACTGCAGTTGCGACCAATGAAACTTTCAAGGAGGTTTTCTTACAATGAGATCAAGTTATATTTTTTCGAATAATTTTCAGGTTTTATTGAAGTATAATGAGCAGAATGCACCAATGCGAATGATTTTATTCAACGATGCATTAGAGCATCTCACCCGTCTTCAGCGCATATTCCGATTAAGCGATGGTCACGTTTTATTCCTTGGCCCAGGTGGCATCGGGAAGCAGAGCCTCATTCGTTTGGCTGCTTTTACCGCTGGTGAGATTATTTATCATATCTTCACTGTTGTCTTCTTCACGAAATAACTCATCTTCCTCAAAAAAGTATACCTTAACACCAAACAAAGCATGCCAAAATTTTAGAACACTATCTAATTTTCCATTGAAATCTGGTTGAAATAACGGATTACTTGAGCTTCAATTTCGTTGACCTGAAATTATATTAGACATCAATCGAATTCTTAACGACCAAGGCCGAATTAACCTTCTTACAGTCTCAATTAACACTATAAAAGAAATTAAGATTAAAGGAGTACCCAGAGGAACAAAATGGGAAAAACATTTGCTATTAAAATTAACTCAACCCAAAAACAAAAAAGCTAACCAAAAAGGAAAACCAAAGCTAATAGAAAAAACAAAATGTGAAGAACAAGAGAAAGTATAAGGAACCAAACCTAAAATATTAATAAACAATATATCAGAGGTGTCAAATTTAATCTTTTCATTTTTGTTTTTTTGGCAGGTTGCAAAGTTTTTGGCATCAGCTATTCTCTCAGCTACAGTTTGTTTGACTTCGAGAGAGAAATCAAGCAAGTTCTCATCAGTGCGGGAGTGTCAACGAAAAACTTCATTCTTTTTCTAGACACTACTCAGATAATAGATGACGGTAATCCTCCTCTTTGCAAAATTCTAACTTTCTCACTGATTTCTTACTGTTCGGCTGCATCTTAAACTCTATAACCCCTTGAATGGGCCCCTAGACAAGGTATAAATATTAGCACTACACATGTTTTCTCTCCAAAATTTCACGAAGAAAACAAATCTTCCGACGAAAAATTTGAAACTCAACCCCTGAAGGAGATAGAAGGGTTTATAAATAATACTGATTAAATGGCAAAAATACAAATGAAGTCACTTATCGGCGGTGTAAGTCGGCAATCACATAACTTGGAAAACGCGATTTTTCAGGGGAGGGAAAAAACTCTCTACATTCCTCATCTTTGAAGGTAGAGGGGAAATAATTCTTAGAGACAGCAAGGATAATAATGCTTTATAAGACTCTATCATCATTTTGAATAATATTCTCGTCTGTCAGGAGAAATGACCGAAAAATCGAGTTATGTGTTTGTGGAACACTGTGTCCAACACTGAATTCTGAGATACGTGGTTGGCGAATTACTGATTCAAACCTATTCTTTGCCGATGTTGGCTGAATAAGAACTGAATAAGACTCCTCTCACTTTAAAAGTAGCCTAAAGTTCCTTTTAACAAAGTTTAATTGGTAGCGAATCTTTAGAATGACATCGGAAAACAATTCGACGGCGTAAGTCAGCAATCACATAACTCGGTTTACAACGTCGCAGACTTCCTGTCATACTTCATTTTTTAAACAGAAAACTACTTAACAGCAATTCTTTAAAACTGCCGTGAATTTTCTTCTCTATGCGAAGAAAATTCTGTATAAACTGCAAGGAATGATGTCAAATGTGTCGAGGTTCCCCTTTAAAAAAAATAACGTTGAGGCGGAGATTTTCAGACACCGTGAACAAGATAATTATGTGATTGCGGACTTGCACCGTCGAATTACGAATTAAAATGAAATAAAGATAAAAATAAGTGGACGATTACTCAGTTATCCGTCGGATATTAGATGTTAGACGTTAAAACAATAACAATGTTTTTGTTGTTTGAAGATTCCGTGACGTACTAACTTTTAATTTTCCCTCTTAAACTGTTCACGATCTTCCCGGGAGAGCGCGCGTTGTGTAAAAATGCGCCGCGACGGCACGAGTAATGTGTTATTGTAATTAACGCCGAGATATGTGTTTTGAGTTCTACGTTTTTAGGTGACTTCCAGATTTTTCTTGACTGAAATATTTTGATAGCAGGTAAAGGGCATCTACTACACTTCATTTCTGCAGCTAACTCAAAACCGCCAAAAATCGAGTTATGTGATTGCCGACTTACACCGTCGTTATGTATCTTATCCTACAGCCATTTGATCTATGGTTGAAGCACTTGTCAATATCTCATTCATGACTTGATTTCTAGATATTCCATTGTGTGAATCGTTTTCTCCACAAGATTTGGGAAAAGAATATGTGTCTTTTTTGTCTTTTACTGGTCTGATCATATTTGAAATCAATATTTGTCTTGTCAGAAGAGATTTAAATATTTTAAAGTGTAGCGTAGATATTTTATGTTCAGTGCTAAAGCTTTTTACTAAAAGATTGAAGCAAGGATGAACATTTTGAAACCCTTCAATTTAGTTTTTTGTGGTTTTTNAGTTAAAGCAACCAAACTGTGTCAGAAATGTTCCCAAATTACTAGGTAAGGCTTTTATCAGCTCATCATCTGATCCAATAATTTTAATTGTGGCATTTCATTCGGCATGTCGCCGCACGACTTCTATGATACTCAAAGTCTCACATATATAATTTGAAAGGGGGGGTCTGGGGGGGCGGCGCCCCCTCAGCAGGTAGCTTTTGCTACTTGTTTTTTTTTCGTTTCTTTTTTCACTCAATTACGTCTACTGAACGTAGTTGAAGTTTAAGAAGATAATTTTAATAAAAATCCACTTTTTTGCAGGCTGTTATGAAATTTTGAACGAAATAATTACGTCTTGCGTTCGTCCAACTTTTTTCAATCCAACCGACAAGGAGATTGTTGTGAGTCAACTAAAAAATGACCTTCCTAACTCAACTGAGTAAGTCTAAAGAATTTCTTTACAAAGACACATTCTATTCCATTTTATTCTAATCCATCTTAACACTATCTATTTTGAGTGTCGCCTACCTCTTTACCTACTTCTTACAATCAAAGTCTATTCATACCACTTACAAGACAAAATTGTCCATATTTTACAAATAGAAATTACAATATCTGGCTCAGTTCAGAACCAATGTATGTATCATTAGTTTCCCCATGCAAATAAGTTTTTTTCATAGATGAACCAGAAACTGTAGCTCCTAATTGCAAAATGTAGTCCCATTGGATGAATATAATCGGAATCAGCCTAATTATATCTCTGCTGTGATAGCAAAGAGAGCAGTAGGTGCATTCCTGTATGAGCCATGATTAGCATATGCTTTTATGTGTCTCAAAGTTCATCCCTGCATGCTCTTACTGATCTCTGCGCTATCATGGTAGATCAGACGCCGCCTGATTTTTTCTCATGTTCAGTTTTTGAAAAAAAAAAACTAAGAAACATTCAAACCTAAAATTTTGTTTGTAGTTTCTTCATAATCTAGGGTAAATTCACAGAAACTTTTTGAAGTTGAGAGAAAATATATCGAACATGAAAGCAGTCTTCTATTTTCATCCTTATCATTGAGTCTTATTGAGGGAAAAATCTTCAAACCTCCTTTTCTCTGTCCAAACCCAGTATGACTTCGTCTCTGTTATACTTACTTCATAGTTATTTGTGAATATTTTGGAATGTGTGAAACCCACAGGAATTTTTCAGAAAAACTGTCTAATAGTTTTCATCACAGAAAATGAAACATTGAAGAACAGTGTTACTGTCAGAGGTGTGTATTTTATTTTACCTTCGTCATTGATTCGATCATCTAACTTGCGTAGTTAACTTTGCTTGTTTTTTATCAAATCTTAACCTCTCTGCGCCATCAAAAGTAAATTTATATATTATTTTATTCAACAGTGAAGATATTTGGTCAAGATTCTTGATAAATTGTGTGGAAAACATCCATATTGCAATGACGGTGTCTCTCGAGACTAACGCGCTGCGACGGCTCTGCCAAAATTATCCTGGCTTGGCTAAAAGTATGTACCTGAATTGGGGCTTCAGCTGGCCTGCAGAGGCATTCAGCATTATTGCTAATACATTTTTATCCCACGTAAGTTTATTTTATCTTAAATTCTCCCTTGCTCTCTTTTTCCTCCAATATCACCATATTTCTCACAATATCAAAGTCTAGAATAGCTTCTTCTTAAGGAAATTCTTTAATTTCTATGTTTCTGAGTTAAAAGTGAACAAAAATGTTTTTCCCCCTCATCATCATTGATCAAACCAGCTTTTGCATTCAAATCCATCCATGCATTTAACAGGTTTTTTTAGGGTGTAAATAAGATTCTTGTCCCAACATGAAGCCTTAGTAAAAAAATCGTTGAACGGTGATTTTTGCAAAGTGACAACAGCAAAGATGTTCCTGTGTAATTTGTAACGCAACTTTTAAATGTCCCTAAACACTATAATTGTCAAAGCAATCACTAATCCACTACATTAAATTGTCATCTCATTGACTGATTTTTCTATTTTCAGCAAGATTTGTTACCGGACGATTACGTTGAAGGTGTGATAGAACAGTTGGTCTATGCTCATACAACAATTGATAAGTATGTTGTGGAATACAGGGCCCAATTTCAGAGACAAGTTTACGTTACGTGCTCTAGCTTTTTCAATTGCATTCACACTTTACTTGATCTATTAGATGAAAGGCATTCTTTCCTCTGCACTGAGGTAGGTATTCTGACTTTTTTTTATCGTCAACTTTAATTTATAAGGATATACTTGTTACCTACATAATTCATGCATGTTGTATGGTGAATTGCACTGGCGTGGTATCCTGCTTGCAAACTTTAGTCAACAAATTTTTTTGAACCTGGTTGGACGTGAACACCCGCGGGCCGATTATTGAAAACTTAAAGCAGCCCGATAAGACATTGAATTACGATAAATTGCATGGTTAAGACAGGGCTATGTCTTACCATGTCAGGCTAAAATAGTTTCATTAATATAGTATAGTAGTAGCTGAGATACTTACAGTGAATTTCATTTGTGCTTAAATTTTTTAAGCCAGGGTCGTAGCATAACATCTCACTTTTCAGATTATTAAGAGCATTCCAGCAGAATTGATCCTTATCTCCCTCTGTTTTTCTCTCTAATTTTCAGCAAGAAAACCTCAAGAATGGAATCGCAAAAATAAAAGAAGTTTTTGAACATGCAGAGGAGTTAAAAGCAAAGCTTGCAATCCATTCATTTATGATCAGTGAGAAAGCAGAGGAGATCCAAAAAACGCTAGAAGACATTAATGCTGGTATGTCATATCACAATTCCTTTTTAATTTGACCTGATTTGATTTTCACTTAATTTATCGGCATTTAGACTAAAAGAGTTAATTTCTAAAGCATACGGAATAGTTCGAACGCTGAACTTTAAAGAGGTTAATGGTTACAGTTTTTGCAGTCGAAGCTCAAATTTAATATTCATACTGATAATTTTAAGAAAAATCTGATAGTTTTCTGGAACTTTAAAGGTTATCTCACAAGAAATTCACAATAAATTTCCAAAGTCTGTACCCTGAAGATCCGAACGATTTTGAGCAATTTAATATCTTACCTTGCACTTAATAATCTTCCTACCGTCTTCCTTACAGCGGAAAAAGTAGGGGAAGAGGTGAAGGAAGAAGTAAGCGAAAGACAGAAAGAGATGGAAGCTATTTCCAAGGAGTTGATTGACGAAAAGTGTGAGGTAGAAGAAATGTCCTCCAAAATTGCGCCCTCGCTGGTTGCGGCCAAAGAAACACTCCGCCACTTGGATCAAGAGGATATCTCAGAAATCTGGTAAATTCCCAGAATTTTACTTCTCTTGTCCTCTCTAATTTGGATTAATGTGGGTGAAAATAGTCACCCATGTCAGGAGTATCACTATTGTATTTTGGAGGGATTTGGAAGTTTCAGCCAGATTTTTCATTTCAAGTAAAAATTTTGATGTGATTCCATCAGAGCAGATTTTTACTTACATACATGTTTTCCTAAAACAATTAAAAATTCTAACTGGATGATGTGTGTGTTTTACAGTTCATACGTAGCTCCACCAGAAGTGGTCCAAAACATAGGAGAATGTGTGGCAATTCTACTTGGAACAAAGGAAATCTCATGGAAGAGAGCCAAGAGCATCATGTCAGAACCTGATTTCGTGTCAGATCTCATCAATCTGGATTGCAATATTATCTCGCAGAAACAGCAGCAAGCTTGCCGAGTTCATATGAAGGTGATGAGTTGGTTCTGCCAACTAAATTCAATCTTTTCATTCCTATTTCTTGGAGAAAGTAAAGAATGAGCCTTTTCCAGAAACTAAAAATCTACCCAGGTAGATGTAAAATACTAACCTCGGATTTTTTCTCGGAAAAGAGGATAGCAATTTTTGTTTTTGAAACTGAGCGAGTAATTGGTTTCGCCATTTGAACCGCGTTAAACAGAAAGGAACCAAGCCACATCAGGTATTGCCAAATTTATTTGGGCAATTTAATTTTTTGCGTGAAATCGGTTGTGTGGATTTTCGTGCAAAGTTCAGAGGACTTTCTCTATACTACGAACCTAATTCCTTAAAATTTTTAAAGGAATTCAATCAAATGTCCTCTCGTAAAAAATTAAACAGCGCAGTTAAATTTGGCAACAGCTGATGTGGCTTGGTTCCTTTCTGTTAAACGCAGTTCATTTTAAGTTTAAATGAAGCCTCTGAGGCCGTCAGTCAACAAAAGCGATTTTTCGTAAATAATAGTAGAAGAAATTTCAATGAATCAAGGGATCAAATTATTAAGAAAGAAATCTTGAAGACTCATATTTGTTCCTGGATTCTGCCCCTTAAAATTCCTAGGAATTTTAATAGCTGAAAATACATCCTTTAGGTGCCAAAAAAGTTTAGTTAGAAGAAATTAAGTAAGAGCAGGAATTTTGAAGCCCAGTTTATGAGATAAAGTCCAATATAGAGAATGAATTTACAGCTGCATTTCAATTTTAACGTCCATCTCATTGACTCCACATCCATCACGTCTATTCGAATTCATGTTTTCAGCCAGCCAAGAAGATGGAGACGTTGAAGGATATTAGTAAAGCTGGCTATACACTTTACTTACTGATGGAAGAAATCCTGGCGTATTGCCTGGTTTTCAAAGAAATCAAAACAAAGAACAGCAAAATTTCCAGACTGGAAGATGAACTGAAAGTTGTAAGAATTCTTTTATTCATAGTTTGATTTTTAGCGATTCTACAGACTTTTTGTCAAGATCGTGCATGTATGCTCAAAGACAGTTTCATTGTGAGCGAGAGAAATTGTCTAAGAGAGATTGTATACTCATACAATTTTCCGTCAATGACTTATGAATATTCTGATTAAATTGTGCTTTTAAATACATGTACAATATGCAATGTATAAGCTACTACATATGGTATGAATTGAAGCACCGTGCAAAATTATTTTTCTTCAAAATTTCACATGGAAAACGAACTACACTATACTATCAGAGGTCTGGAAATTCACTCTTAAACAAGTCATAAGTATTAACAACTAACATTTGTGAAATGGCAAAAGTATAATTGACGTCATCTGTATAATTTAACTTCCATTTAATCCGTGTTGAATATTCTAGTTAATGTCTCGTCCAGGAGTTGATTTTCGAACTTCCTGTTGTGCAATTCGTTTTCTATGTAAGATTTTGAAGAGAAAACATGTGACGTTTTGTTTTAGTTCAAGCCTTGTCTAGTGACCTGTGGTGAATTGAAATTTAATGTCCAAATCGGTGTAGGTTGAGCGCAATTTTTTGCGAAAATATCAAAAGCAGAAAAGTTCTCGATAGAAAGGAGTTCAAGAATTAGAATACAGGTGAATAAGTCATTGATCGTTACAAGTCCATGAGAAAAAAAGTTGTAAGTTGCCAAATTATTCCATGAAACATTTTACCGCACAGTTTTTAAAATTACAACTTCAAGTATTTTCAAAAAATTTGCCTCATTTCAAAATCCAATTAATTGTAACTAACAAACTGATGTCAGTGCTTCATTTTGCATTATTTTCGATTACTAAAGCCAAGGCAAAATTTTATGTGTTCTCCGTAGTTTCAATTTCCTTCGATATTTACAGGCTCAAAATTATATCAGCCAGCTGAATTATAAAATGAAAGAGGCAAACGTTGCTTTGTGTCTATTACACGATTCTTATGAGAAGAGCATCGCAGAGAAAGAGAAACTGCAAATTGAAAAAGGAGAAATTGAAATCAAGATGAAAGCAGCGGATGAGCTAGTCGACGTCCTCAACCCACGTCACACTAGGTATTTGACTCTGATACTCATTTAGACTGGGAAAAGTTTTGGAATTTTTTTTCTCTAAAATTAAGAGGCAATCTAATTTAATCTAAATAAATGTTCTAGATTTGAGTGTATACTCGAGATCATAGGACAAAGAATTTCTGTCAATGAAATTAATTTTATTAGCTGTAAATTGAGGACACGGCACCACGAACAGCCTATAACTGGAAACCGCGTTTTGAGAAAAACGCATTTAAAGTTTTGTTTTTGATGTACTGCGCAGACTTTTCTATGCAGGTACCCTGTTTTGGTGTTTTTGGGTGACCTAACCCTTCTATTGAAGGATGCCGGGTAGATTTTGTGATACATTTTGGGTTTACACTCTAATATATTTAATTTAAAAAGTGGTTTATAGGCCATTATTATGCCCAACAGTCATTTTGGTGGCAATATGAAGTATAAATCATTTTAATCTCGCATGATTAATGCAAAACGAAAGAATATCGATAGTGAGTAAAGAAAGGGGTAACTAGCACCTTATAGGCCCTTAAGTTTACAGGCCCGTTTATTGGTCGTTCTTGCACCCATCAATCTAGAGGCCTGACTTAACTCGGAAAAAAAAGTTTTTTCGACCTCAAGCCGTTACCTATCTATATTCTATCGCTACCACTGCATAGTCCAGGGTACGTAGAATCCGAACAGCAGATGGGCGTAATAACAACCTATACGCCTATAGGCTGTTCTTGGTGCGGTGTCCTCAATTGAATGGTAAAGCCAAAAGTCAAAATTAAAAAATTGATAAAAATAAATATTGAGACTAACGGGTAACAAAGCTGGTTTCTTTCCATTTTAGTTGGACTCAGGCGTTAGAAGAGGCAAAAATCAGCAAGCAGCAATTAGTTGGAGACTGCTTGATATGTGCTCTCTTCCTCAGCTACGCAGGTCCGTTTAATCAGGAGTTTCGTCGAATCATCATCTATTCAGATTGGCTGAGTCACATTGCCAGCTCTGATATACCCATATCCCAGCCTTTCATACCAGAAAAAATTCTATCTCCCAAGTTAGCTTGCAGGTAACTATTTTGCTTTTCCTTAATAAGTAAATTCTCAGTTGAGATGAAAGAGGCTCTGTAATGAAACTTTGACAGAAAGCACAGACGCGCACACAACTCCTCACTTTAACACACACTTCCTTGTATATATGTATACTAGGGGGCTACGCCCCCTGGCCGCTACGCGGCCCAACCCCCCGAAGGCGCTCCGCGCCATCAATGGGCCGCTTCGCGGCCCTATTTTTACCCTCCTATTAGTATTAGTTTTATTTTTCCCCTAAAAAAATTCGATATGAGGTATACTTAATAGAATGAAATAATTTTTGGTTTTGATGAATAAAGAAAAAAAAATTTTTTGAAGTCAAACGGACGCGTTTTGGAATGACTGCTTGATGAAATATTACAGTAAAACAACGACCTGTTTAAATCGGATAATTATTAAGTACCTCTGGAGGCGGGGATCGAACCCACACCTTGATCAATGTGAACACTTCCAACGTCGTAGACGACTCGGCCACCGCTCGTCTTGCGGTAATCGGCGGAAATCTTGTGTAGATAAGTGTAGAGCTGATGCGCAGGCTACACACCTACTGCGCAACCTCCTCGACCACTGCGCATCCTCCCGCGCATAGCGGTAGCAGTCCCGGAGCACTCTGTAAATTCACTCACTTTAATAACGTGATTTTAAAAAAACCTGGGTCCTTTTTCCAAAATCTGATTAGAGCGGGCTCATCTAGAGCCTATTACCTGTCGATTTACGCAAAAATCATGGAAATCGGCCCAGTAGAATGCTCAAACGAACTATGACAAAACACATAAATTTACATTGTTTATATGGGAGAATTCGCAACTTTACCACGTAATATAAAAAAACCTGGGCCATATTTTCAAAATCTGAAAAGAGTTGGCTTATCTAGAGACAATTGTCCGTCAATAGCCGCAAAAATTATGAAAATCGGCCCGGTAGAACGCTGGAACTAAGCGTCACCAGTTTCGCAAAATTAGGAGGTCTTGGAGCTTATAGTATAGATGGTCACTCATTTTTTGAGGGCTTCCTGCAAACATTAAAGGAATTTTTTCTGATAATTTCAGGGATCTTTTTGATTGATTGTTATGTATTTCCTTGTTATCTTTGCTTTTGGACTTACAGTCAGTACACTTATCAATAAATAAATAGTTAGTTAGTAATTTTAAAATTTTTATCAGAGACATTCAGCAACTTAAACTATTAATGTTTTCACAGAAAATATGGAGGGTGAGTACGAATACTAAAATTCAGATTCTTTACCTGCTGGAAGCAAAAAATTTCAAAATTTTAGTTGTAATACTGGGATCATTGGAGTTTAGTGGAAACTTACCTCTATTGTAAAAAAAACGCTATGGTTTTAAAAACCTAGGGTTGAACCCTCACTTTTTTCCAATTAAAAATGTTATCAAGAAGTATTCACAAGCTAAAAAGTCAAAGGTGTTAAAGGCTCATTGATATTGCGCAACATGTCATGCCTTGAAAAGTTAGGTTTTTAAAGTGCACTAAAAACTGGGATAGCAGTCCTTCTTAATTCCAACAATATTTCTATTTTTCAGTGAAAATTTCAAGGGCATGCTCATGGATGAGTTTCAAGTAGAGAATCAAATTCTCATTAGGCGTGCCAGGCAATCACCTCTCTGTATTGATCCTCAGAATCAGGTAACTGTTCTACATTTCGACGTATTTATGCTGAAAGGAACTATGTGCATAGGGCTTGCGTTTAACATAGTTCCTTTTAGCATAAATACGTCCATTTCTACTTCTAACTTTCAATGCATCGATCAATTCAGAATCAGTCCCCGAGTACTTAGTACCCCAACCACCCCAAGTATCCACTAATTTGTATCATTTATCAATGAAAAAAAAAATCAAACAATGTAGGAATTATTCTAAGGCATCTCCAGCATCCTCTATTTTGATCAAAGTTATTCCTCTTAAAACAAATCTGCTGGAAAAACCCGCTGGAGTGCAAGAATATGCATAAAAGCAAGAAAAGTGAATAGAAGAATTTTCAAAAACCGCCTCTACTTACTTTCCAGAAAGGGTTTGAAGTTTCAGAATACAAATTTTGTGTAGAAGCCATTTCAAACTATATACGTCTTTTTAATCGTAGGGTATACTCCATGATTATTTTTGGTTTTGGCCCAGCTCCTTCCTTTTTCTCAAATTTTAAGCTGTGGGGCATAATTTGTTATTAACTTAAAACGGTGCTGATAATTTGTTACGTCTAACTCAAGAAACGCAAAATTTGTGAGTTTTCAATTTATAAATTTATTCCCAGGCCTTCAACTGGATCTGTGAAAATGAAAAAAACCTGCAAATCACTTCATTTGCAGACCCGAATCATTTAACTTTCTTGAAAAATGCTTTTAAGGATGGAGGAGTTTTGCTTTTTGAAGAAGTTGACATGATAGACCCTATTATCTACAATATTCTGGACAAAAAATTAGTCAGTAAGTAGCATTGAAAATTGATTAATTTAAAGTGAGGGGGCTTTCAACATGTTAATTGTGGGGCTGGTCAGAGTAACGGTTTTTTTATTGGTCGCGTTAGACCAAAACTGTCACGGTGACAGGTGATCTTATGTTTGCGTTTTTATTGTGCTGCCATGAGATAGAGGCACCGTCTGTAGGTGCTCCACAGAACTATTCGTAGAATATCACTTATGCATTTAACTTATGAGAAGCGCTAGCAAGCTTGATCTGGTCAAGGTTTTGAATGAGCCAAAAAGAGGCAAGCAATCCAATATCTGTTAGAGATCGTTTGACTTTCTGATAATTTGGGGAAAACCTGGAATCTTTGGACCAAGGTTGACAGAAACAAATCAAGTTAGAATGAAGAAAAAGAGGTTAAAAGTTTTATTTCTCCATGAAACTCAACCCAAGGACAAAGTTCAACGACTGAGAGTTTCCTTGTTTAAAATATTCTTCCTTGATTTTGAATTTTCATCAGGAGAAAATTTACGGCAAGTTGAATTCAAATCCTCTCTCAACTCATTTTTTCCAAAATTTGACTTAGTACGGTTTTGTTAAACTTGGTCCATTTGGCAAATTCTTCTGATTGCGGGAAGTTCAAAAGTTTTACTCAGCATCAAACCTGAGAATTTTCTGCGGTGCTGAAAGTTTCTCATCATTCCAAGCCTATTCTTGTCCTGAATTGGAAAACCTTGAATTTTTAACTTCTCTGAAGGCAAACTTGTGTGCCTAAAATTCTTGGAAACTCAGGGGAACTGAGAATATTTTAAAACTGAAGGAAACTCATCTCTCATAAAGCTGCAGCTCGTGGGCCAAATTGTCTTCCTAAGAAAAAACATCGCATGAATATTTGGAAATTCCCAAATTCCTTCCGATTTTTGAGTATAGCTATGAATATTTTACTTTTATATTTCAGGCATATTAGATAAAATTACAAAGAATATCTCAATATAAATAAATACAAGTTTTCCAGCAAATTTGTCTTTTATTAGAAGAAATTTTGTCACATCTAAATGTTCATACAGCGGTTTTCCTCAGTATGGCAAAATTAATGTTCAAAGGATGCAATTAAAAAGTGTATCAAAGTGACTCAGTAGATACACATTTTTTCCAAATTTAATCAGTGGGATCTCTTGTCAGTCAGATCTCTTTGCTGAAAAACATCTAATTAATGGTCAAAACTCAATAATTTCCCAAGTGTCCGATATGCCTTAGTTCATTTCCTTGTTCTCTCTTTCCCATTTTCAGAAAATGTAAACCAGTCGTTGGTTTCTTTCGATGGGAAATTGGAAGAGTTCAGCAGTAATTTAAAATTGTATTTTACTTCCCTCGAAGCCTTCCCGAATTTTTCACCCATAGTGTTCACGAAAACAGCAGTCATTGATTTCAGCATCACGAGACAAGTAAGTGTATCATCTAGTTTATTTTTGGACCTTTGGGCCGATTATTGAAATTGATATACAAAGCGATAGACAAAGAAGACATAGGGAGTATGGAGCCATCCTATTAGTTGAAATCGGTGGTTCCTATAGACTAAGGGAGAAAATGATGGACTAACTATCGGGTCCCTTGTGGGTTGCCGTTACCAGGTCTATTACCTACCTCCTTTGTCCATTGCAACCACCAGCCTCCACCAATAGGATCGCTCCATATCTTTTTTGTCTTCTTTGTCTATAGCTTTGTCTATCAATTTCAATAATCAACCCGCTAATATGACAAATTGGTGTGTTTAACCGGAATCAGCCAAACTGCATCTCACCTTGTCTGATTTTTTTACCTACAATAATACCCCGATTATGGGATGTTTAGCTGTGACAGCTGCGTCGAATGTAAAAAATAGTTAATCGATCAAAATGACAATAAAAAGACTGGTAAATTGCCATTTCAGGCGCTGTTAGTAACAAAAGAGCACAAACTTGGCCAATTTTATTTTTATAAAATTGTCATTTAATTTGAAAAAATGACACATAAAACCATATAAATGTTAAATTTGTCCCAAGAAACATGTTTTTGTTGTATCAGCTTACTTGTCTTAGACCAAAAACTCAATTTTTACAACATGCTCCCATGTTGAATCCATGCTCCCATCTGGAGGGTCAGATAATTGATGGTCGAGTAATCAGTGAACCATTAAAAGGTGATCATAACTCAAATTTAAGTCTCTGAAAAATTTAAAATATTGTTTTTTTACTATTTTTTTCACTTGTTCTATCACATTGAACTGAACTCTAATGGTTTGTTTTAGGCCGTTGCAAATCAGTTACTGAGTTTAACTTCAAAGTTAGTCGATTCGTCCTTAGAAGAAGAACGGACTCAGTTGCTGCATGATGGCTTGACGATGGAAAGAGCGGCAAAAAAGTTTGGCGATACCTTTCTTTTAACTCTTTTGAAATCCAGTGAAAGGATTTTGGACCACGCCCAAGAAATAGAGCCTCTTCTCATCCTAAATAATGAAATTTGTGAGGTATGCTCCTTTTTGGCTTTTTATTAATTTTGGATTAATTTTCAGAATTCTAAGTATTCATATATTCTCTTAAAAGTACGGTATAGAACCATGAATTGGGCTTATTTTAACAGAAGCGCATCAAGTTGCAATTTTGAAGGTAGAAAAAATTAGTTCAGAGTGGTTTTGAATTCATCCAGTTGCAAATTTTCTCCTACTGAAAAGTCGAAGTCGAGAAAGAAAATTCTGAAAAAGAAAATAGTTGTTGAATCTTGTCCTCAAAATTGTATCTTGGAGAGTCATCAAACTTCAAACCTTTTTTTCTGCTCAAACTTAATAGAACTTGGTACATTCCTGTTAAACTCAGCTCAATTTTAGATGAATCATAATTATTTAATCGCTTGGTTCTCAAAATTCGATTTTGGTTTGGTATAAGGGGAAACCCTCAAAAAAATTATTCTTGGTTTAAAAATGATGAGAAAACAAGCCCCAACCAAGTCATCTACTCCTAGAGCATTTCAAATGATTAAATCAGGAATTATTTCTTTAATTTCATAGTTTTAAAATAATTGTTTAAAAAATTCATAATTTTCATTCGATCGTAATAATCTAACGCTTCTCTCCTTGGAAATTGACTTTTTATCTTGAAATGTTGCTTTTTTTTTCAAGCACTAATTTGATGAAATATTTTCAGACTCAAGAAAAACTGGATGCTGTGAAAGGAACATTGAAAAGCGTGGAAGAGAAACGAACTGTGTATGCACCTCTCGCAGAAGAAATTTCTCCAATTTTTTTTATTTTTATAGAAGCCTCTTTAATCGAGAATATCTATCAGTACTCTTTAGAAACTTTCTTGAATGTTTTCAAATCAAGATTAAAGTCAGTTTTTACTGATCAACCCCAAGATGATGTTCCAACACGCTGCCAAGCAATTCTCTTTGAGCTTTACAAATTTGGCTGCTCATCGGTCTTCAAGGATCATGAGTTGTTCTTCTCGTACCAAATGGCAATTAAAATTGACCATATCCGATCTTCCATCTCTCAGTCCGCCTTGAACCTGGTATGCAGAAAGCTTCAATCAGACAGTTGCGAAAAAGTGAGTCCAGTAACTTGGCTTACGAAGGAAGACTGGATGCGAGTACTGAAACTAAGCGAGTCTTTTCCTCAAAAACTTCACACTTTGCCTGCAGATATAGTTGAAAATTCTGCTGAGTGGGAGAAGATTCCAAGTTCGGGAGATTTTATATCTGTATTCCCTTCAGATCACTGGGTCCGTAAGTTGGCACCCTTTGAAGAATTAATGGTGCTTCTCTGCATTAGTCCTGGTAGCATATGCCACTCAGTAGAACGTTACGTTTCAACAATCCTCGGAACAGAATTCTTGATGCCACCCACCGTGGACTTAGCAGATGCCTTTATGAACTCAACTGCTTCCACACCAATTTTAGTAATTCACTCCCCAGATCTTGATCCATCTGTTACTGTCGCAAAATTATTCAAAACGTTTTCTTCAAATGTCGGCCTTAATTTTACAACAACAAGGTCAGAGTTGGGCGAGTCTACATTGCGATTATTTGACGAGATGTCTGTTGCGGGGGGTTGGCTTGCAATTCAATGTTGGAATAAGCTTGATGTTGTAACTAACCTAGGTAATCAGTTATGTAAAAGAACACCTCACCCAGATTTTCGGTTGTGGATCATGATAAACTGTGCATCCTCGTTCCCATTAAAACTATTACGCAACTGTATTAAAGTCTGCTACGAGCCAACAACTGATCTCAAGTCAAATTTAGTAAATACATACTCTCAGCTGGGCAGTGAGTTGAGTCTTAGTGACCATGTTGCATTCAGTCAGGTTTTGTATGTGTTAGCATTTTTCCATGCTGTGGTGCAAGAGCGTGGCAAGTACGGAAGGATCGGCTGGAATCTCCCGTACGAGTTTTCCAGAACTGACTTTGACTTGACCGTCTTTACAGTTGCAACCTACTGCAATGAAGCGACCGAAGTAGGTCAAAATCTTCCTTGGTCGACTATAAAATATTTAATCAACGAGATTTTATATGGCGGGAGGGTTGTTCAAGAAAGCGACAAAATCATCCTACACACGATTGTTGAAGAATACTTTGGTGACTTTTTGTTCGACCAGTTTCAGAGCTTCCACTTTTTCCAGGATGATTTGGTCGATTATGATCTGCCCTTTGGTGACTGTGCAGAAGATTTCCTCCGGAGCATCAAAAACCTTCCAAATCAAAATCACCCAGGTGTTTTCGGTCTTGACAAGAATATTGAAGTTAAACAGGTCGCTGAAAAAGCGAGAAAAATGTGGGCAACATTAAGAGAATCCGAGGAAGAGAAAATGAGCCCCTCTACTGAAAACTCATTGATTTCGCAAGTCAGAGATCTTTCAGAAAAGCTCGTCCGGCCATTTGATGTTGTGAAGATTCGGAGCTCATACAAGATGGTTGTCACACCGAGTGCGACAGTTTTGCTGCAAGAATTGAACGTGTTCAATCTCCTCTTGAAAGTAATGTCTTCAACACTGACTAGCTTGCAAAAAGCATTAGATGGAGAGACTAATCTCAGCGAGTATCTGGAGCAAATTTCCGTCGACATCTTAAGCAACCGCATTCCGGATGAGTGGTGTAAATATTCCCCGATGAACTCTAAATCTCTGTCCGGGTGGATACAACATTTTGAGAGACGGAAATTACAATTTCTGGATTGGTCGGTACGAGGTGACCCAGTAGTAATCTGGCTGTCCGGTCTATTCACTCCTCAAGCATACATCATTGCTCTTTTGCAAACAGCTTGTCAGAAAAAGAGCTGGTCTCTGGATCGCTCTTCATTTTACACGATCGTCACAAATTTAATGCATGAGAGTGAAGTCGAGGAGAGACCGGAGATCGGCTGTTTCGTTCAGGGGATTTTTATAGAAGGTGGACGCTGGGACAGTTCGAGGGAGTGTCTTGCAGAGTGTAGACCAGGGACTTTAATAGAGGAGATGCCAATTTTGATGATTCGGCCGGTCGAAGTCTCGAAATTGAAGTTGGAAAATACTCTCCGAACGCCTGTGTATGTCACCTCTGAAAGACGAAGTGTGGAGAACAGGGGTGTTGTCTTCGAGGCTGATCTCAAATTGGATAAACATCACAGTTTCTGGATTTTGTCCGGTGTTTGTCTCATGCTCAATGATGATAGTACTTGATTGTGTTAAATTTAGTCAGTACCCTTATTTTTCAATTCTTATTTCCATGATGCTTGGAAAGTTGGAAATTTCATCCTTTTTGAAAGAGACGAATTAATTACAGAACTGCAAATGTCTCGGAGAGAGAGACAGATTTTCCATGGAGAGGTAGAGAAGTGAAGTGAAATTAGAAATTAAAAATTGATGGATGAGACAGTTTAACAGACAGCAAAGACTTAGGATTATTGTTCGAAGTGTGTCATGTGTATTTTTGAGGAAAATGTATTTGTAAAAGGCTAGAATTTTTTTCCAACTCAGTAAAATTTATCCAGTCAATTACCTCTTGCTCTATTTGGTTCATTAGAATAAGCATAAAAGGCAGTTAGCAAATATTGGAATCGACATTTCAAAATTGACTCATACGTATATTTGAATCAGTGAGTTCGAAAGCACACAAACTCGGAAAAAAAAATTGTTCAGGAAACACCTAAAACTGCGCAGCGAGCGAAGAAGTTAGTTTAAGAAAAACCTTTTTGGTGCCAAAGGACAAGTACTTAGAGACTTTATAAAGCACCAAGTTAAAATCGAAACACCATGTTTGATGACAGGGAATTAAGCGTTTAAAAATTTCCGAGTTGGTGTGTTTTCGTTCTCACCGACTTTCAGATACTGATTTTTCATAGTCTGCCCTGAAAAATTTATATTTTTCGACCTGAATAACGCTTGAATATTTATATAACTTGTTGGTACAAGGTATACTGAACCGAAAAAAGAAAATCGCAAAATCGGATGGTCACCTGTTTCCCTTGAAATTGCCAAAAATTGGTTTTTCCAATGAAATATTTCGATTTTTCCCTTTTCCGCTGTTTCAAGCACTTCCGATTGCAATTTCGAAATTTCCTTTTACGTGCAGATGCTTCTATCCATAAGTGTTACTAAACCGTAAAAAAGTAAAAATCGAAAAAAACCTGAGTTGTTGTGTTTTCGAACTCACTGATTCATTTGTCTTTGCACTGAATGTACAACTTATACAGTTAGCCGTTTAGTATAATAAAAGTACCTGCTCTGGAATTTGTATTTATTTGTACTTTTTTAAATCTTACTCTGTACATACAAGGTTGTAAAGTTTTCAAATTTTTCATGTAATTCTTTTTCCCCCAAATATTTTTCAAACTGTTCTCAAGTAATTGACTGATATTTGATAGGAGCCGTGTGATTTTTTCATAACTCAGATAGTCAGAAGAATGTAACATGATTTTTGATCATTATTATTTTTTAAAGTAATGTATATTGCAAAGACTGGACTTTTGATCTGGCTATTCTGACACTTCAATAAGTTTAATTGCGCAGAGGAAAATGTTTAAAAAAAGAGCAATGTATGTTGTACCTAACGCTAAGAAGCAACCTTTTAACCTCTCACTCATCTAGAGGCCATTTGACTGTCATGTAAATTGTAATCATTGCTTGCTCCAACATCAATAAATCTATCTCTGTGTCTGTATGCACCAACTGTAATTTTGTCATTATTCTGTCATTCTACCCTCTATTGATTGAAAACCTACTGGGAAAAAATGTTCCATCAGAATCTCAAGTAGTACCTAGTCAGACATTTTTTTTCTAATAACCGAAAATATTAAGTAATATTATTTTTGCTGAAAAGCAAATTCATTAACCCTCTTTGAAAAGGGAAAAAAAACCTGATCTGTCAATGGTAAAAATGCAAGCAAAAATTGTAGAATATTGTACCTATAAATATGTTTTGTAATTTGAGCGAATTTAAATCTGAGAACTCATTTGAATTATTTATTATGTTGACAGTCTTTACCGAGAGAGCATTTTTTTGTTCAGAGAGAAAAAATTTAATTTGGATCTAGTGCCAAGGATAAAGAAAAGCATTATAATGCAACTAAAATTGTGCTATCAGGCAATCTCTTCTCCCCTGTGAAAAAAAAACCAAGAGTAAATGTGAAAATAAAACAAATAATTAAAGGCAAAAAAGTACCCAGGTGTACTCTCTTTTAGTTGAAATTGTAATATAATATGGATCATTCAAACCTCTCTCGTAAGAAGTTGCGCAATCCTAGCAACATTTTAATTCACGAGACTATCTTGTGCCGAACTCAGTCTAATCTTTTCAAGAATCCCTCGAAGTCTTCTAAAATCATTGAGTATTTTTAACTCAGAGCTATTCTGGCCAGCATCTAGATTTTTCGTTTTATCTCCATAAAATTCATGAGTGGAAACTGAATTCAAGGGGTTTCGTCTTTGCCATCGATCTGGGGTCGCTCGTACCCACTTCTATTACGAGTGCATTCCACTTAATTAAAGCAATTCATCTTTCTAAAGCAGCTGTCAAAAGTTAAGAAGACTTATGTCATATCAGATGCCATGTGTCTGTGTCATTCAGCCGAGATAGGTGGTTGTTCGGATTTCCTTGTTACGAAGGATTGTGAAATCAAGTCAGTTTGATATAAGAGGCTCTCGTGACTTAAAATTTGCTAGTGAGGGAGCGTTTAAGTGATTACGTATTGCTTGAGAGAGGGGAAGGATCAGAATCTTCGTTAAGGTGTCATGTTCATGTAGTGTCATAGCACCCACCACCCAAGAGGCACACATGTTGCAATAAATCGCAATTACATAGTAAGATAAGCTACTGGATCAGAGTGCTACGCATGCTGCCTATCTATTAATTGAAGGGGCTCCTCGTAGCGACAATTACTATGCGATAGTGCGATTGCCTGTTTCTCTGATGCATGCATGGCTCTCATTTTATTGATCGACATTTATTGGTTTAAGGATGTAAAAATATCGCAATTTCATTGTGAAAAAATTGTAAGATCTTTATATTTAAAATATTTAAGAAGAAAAGCGATTTCTTGTTCTGGTGAGATCTGGATATCTATGTTTGTGAGGGTTGTTTGAAAACACAAAAACCTAACTTAAGAAAAAAAACTCGAATCATTTAATTGATTTTTGTCAACGCCTTGCCTGAAATTTTATGCGCGAACTTCGGGCCGGCTTCCTTTAAATAATGCATCATTGAGTCGTGCCCCCTCTTTTTTTTGAGCCCAGTCCACAAGTGCCCCGATTCGATCGTTCTGAAGTGATCAGTAACATACTGCCGTGTTAAGGTAAAATGCCGTATAAGTCTTCAGGCGTCGCCAAATTTAATCTCAGAAAATATCTATTTTTGAAGAAAGAAATATATGAAATATTTCTCCTCAGAATGTTCACAAGTTTTAGATCAAATTACGAACAAAATTCTCTTAAAAAAATCGGAAGAAAATATCTACAAATTTGTCCAAAAATTCGTGATTTATTTAAAGAAATTTGGCAACGCCTGAAGGTTCATACGGCGTTCTTCCTTATCACGGCAGCATAAGTCATATTTTCTACAAGCTTCAGATCCTACCGCACCGGGCTCTGAATCAAATCAACAGTGTGTAGGTTGATTTTCATTTCTGGCCGGACTTTTTAGCAGCTCTCCAGCAAAGAAACAGAAACAAAAAACAAATATGTTGAGTTGCGCGCTTGAAATTTTCGTGAATAAACCATAAAACGAGCAACGTTGTTACATACATATCGCCGGTGTAAGTCCGCAACCACATGTCTCGGTTTGCGACGACGCAGACTTCCTGTCATACTTTATTTTTATATGGAAAACAACTCAACGGCAATTCTTAAAAACTAATGTGATTTTTCTTCTCCGCATGCGAGGAGAATTCTACGAAAATTTCAACCAATGATGTTGATTTGTTCCTCTTCAAAAAAATACATGGCAGCGGCAATTTTCAAATACCGCAAACGAGATACTTGGTTGCGGACTTACACCGTCATTTAAACAAGCAAAGCATTGCATGGGAAATTAACAATGTCGCGATAAAAATCAGTAAGAATTTATTTCGTCGGAACAATAGGCAACGCTGGAATTAAGTTACGGAGTAATAGAAACAAGCGAAACGCCCTTAGTAAGTGCAAAATAATGGGACGAACACTATATTTTCGTTTCAACTCCTGGATGCAACTATTCGGGCTCCATGGATGTCCGGGTCGCATACGCACGAGAGTGAAGGCGTTTTGACTGTCCCAGGCACTCACCGCTTCGCCCGCGGCGGGCTTTTATACTGCGAGGATCCGAAAAGGCAAAAACCTTTCAATACTTCGTTCACACTGCCGTGCTAAGGAGAAACGCCGTATGAGCCTTCAGACGTTGCCCAGTTTCCTCCGATAAAACCCGAAATTATTGGGAAAATTGTGAATATTTTCCGAAAATGTCAGATAATTTTGTACGCAATCTAATCTAAAATATCTTAAAATTTCAAGGGAAAATATGCATGAATGTTGTCAAACATAAATGTTTTATCGAGGGAAATTTGGCAACTCTCGGATGTTCATACGGCGTTTTTCCTTAGCACGGCAGGATACTACAAAGACATCTCCTAGGCACGAATAGTTGCATGGCGACGGTGAAACTGGTGAAATTGCATCTCGGTTGCTATGTTTCAAAATCTCCGTTCCTATTATATTTTTTCAAAGGAGACCGAACCAGGGTCATGCCTGGAAGTTTTGACAGAATATATGCTTTAAAAAGAGAAGAGAAATCACTGAAATTATGAAAAAATGACATTCAGTAGTTTTCCATGTAGGAAATAAATAATGACAGGAAGTCTGCAACGCCGCAAACCGAGGTACGTATTTCAGCAGTTTCACCATCGACATACTGCCGTGCTAAGGAAGAACATCGTATGAGCCTTTTGACGTTGCCAAGTTTCCTTCGATAAAAACGGAAATTACTGGGAAATTTGTGAATATTTTCCCCCAAAATTTTTAGACAGTTTCGTACGCAATTTAATCTAAAATATCCGAAAATTTCAAGGAATAATAAGCATAACTTCCCTAAAAAATACATGTTTTATCGGAGGAAATTTGGCCACTCTCGAATGTTCATGCGGCGTTTTTCCTCAGTACAGCAGTATAGGCGTAGAGTGAGAGGATCTTGCGTGCCTCAGTTTTGATATCACGATGTGCTGAGCGTAATGCAGATACTTTATTCGTGCAGAAAAGATGTCTGCGAGGTGTAAATGAGATGCATGGAAGACAAAAGGGATAAATGTAGATTTGGAAGAAAATAGAGGTATTAATGATTTCAACTAAAACTAGTTTGAAAATATATTCCGAGAAAAATTCACAACTAAAATCCAATTTTTAAGCATCAAGAAGTAGGTAAGTTTGAACTTTCTTTTTGTCCTAAGGCTCTGTGTAATTTTGAAACTTCAAATACGTTTTTATTTTTAAAAGCAAAAACTGCATTTAAAAGCTATGAAAGAGGCTTTATGTATGGAAAAACTGCATTTATCCCACTTGTCCTTCAAGCTCCTCAAATGAGGAATTGAAGATCCTCGCGGTATAACCCGCTGCAAAATGGAACGAGCCTCTCAGGTATAGGCTGCTAATTTCGTCCCATCATAAATTGTATGGGATGCTTCTTGAAGGTAATTTCACGTGAAGCTTAATGAAACCATTTCGAAAAACCCTACGTTCCGTAATAACATCGATATGAGCTTCTAATGTTTCCACAGCTAGTCCGAATCCTCTCACTGTTTCGCTTCACTGAGTGCCGCTGCGCTGGTGAGGCGGCTAGCGTCTGGAGTCAAAACGCCTTCAGTTTTGTGCGTATGCAACACGGACATGCATCGAGTTCAAATAGTTGTATCTCTGCGCCGTCGTTAGCGTTCATCCTTTCCTTCGCTTAATTTTCATATGGTGTTTGTTTACGTTTGTGTTATTCGTAATGGTGCTTCAAGCACTACGTGAGTAACACAGCCGAAGGTAGGAGAGACGAATTCGGTCCTCTTTTCTAAACTTTTCTCCCGAATCTGAGCGACGCCTCATTGACAAANATAAATAATGACAGGAAGTCTGCAACGCCGCAAACCGAGGTACGTATTTCAGCAGTTTCACCATCGACATACTGCCGTGCTAAGGAAGAACATCGTATGAGCCTTTTGACGTTGCCAAGTTTCCTTCGATAAAAACGGAAATTACTGGGAAATTTGTGAATATTTTCCCCCAAAATTTTTAGACAGTTTCGTACGCAATTTAATCTAAAATATCCGAAAATTTCAAGGAATAATAAGCATAACTTCCCTAAAAAATACATGTTTTATCGGAGGAAATTTGGCCACTCTCGAATGTTCATGCGGCGTTTTTCCTCAGTACAGCAGTATAGGCGTAGAGTGAGAGGATCTTGCGTGCCTCAGTTTTGATATCACGATGTGCTGAGCGTAATGCAGATACTTTATTCGTGCAGAAAAGATGTCTGCGAGGTGTAAATGAGAGGCATGGAAGACAAAAGGGATAAATGTAGATTTGGAAGAAAATAGAGGTATTAATGATTTCAACTAATACTAGTTTGAAAATATATTCCGAGAAAAATTCAGAACTAAAATCCAATTTTTAAGCATCAAGAAGTAGGTAAGTTTGAACTCTCTTTTTGTCCTAAGGCTCTGTGTAATTTTGAAACTTCAAACACGTTTTTAATTTTAAAAGCAAAAACTGCATTTAAAAGCTATGAAAGAGGCTTTATGTATGTAAAAACTGCATTTATCCCACTTGTCCTTCAAGCTCCTCAAATGAGGAATTGAAGATCCTCGCGGTATAACCCGTGCAAAATGGAACGAGCCTTTCAGGTATAGGCTGCTAATTTCGTCCCATCATAAATTGTATGGGATGCTTCTTGAAGGTAATTTCACATGAAGCTTAATGAAACCATTTCGAAAAACCCTACGTTCCGTAATAACATCGATATGATCTTCTAATGTTTCCACAGCTAGTCCGAATCCTCTCACTGTTTCGCTTCACTGAGTGCCGCTGGTGAGGCGGCTAGCGTCTGTAGTCAAAACGCCTTCAGTTTTGTGCGTATGCAACACGGACATCCATCGAGTTCGAATAGTTGTATCTCTGCGCCGTCGTTAGCGTTTATCCTTTCCTTCGCTTAATTTTCATATGGTGTTTGTTTACGTTTGTGTTATTCGTAATGGTGCTTCAAGCACTACGTGAGTAACACAGCCGAAGGTAGGAGAAACGAATTCGGTCCTCTTTTCTAAACTTTTCTCCCGAATCTGAGCGACGCCTCATTGACAAACAAATAGCAGAGCATTGAGAGCGCATGCTTCGCGTCATCGCGCCTTCAATTTTTCAGACGCAGCACGGACGTCCATCAAGCACGAATAGTTGTATCTCTGCGCCGTCGATCCCACAGGCGCAACACCTACTTCATAAAACATTATGAAATTAAATTTCATGAACATTTTCAAAACCTCTACAATGGAAACTATAAACCGTGCAACGCATAAAAGCAGCAAAATCTTAATTTTGAAATTTTTTTGGAAGAAAAAAATACCATGAGTCTAATTAATTTCGAGGTTTTTATATAACTCGCGGACTTGAACCGCGCCAAGCAGAAAGAAACCAAGCCACATCAGCCATTGCCAAATTTAACAATTAGACAATTGAACATTTTTTTACAAGAGAACGTTTTTTACGGATTCGCTTGAAAATTTTGAGGAATTTGCTNCTCAATAATAAACATTTCAGTTCAAACTGGCAATTTTCTTGAACACTAAAGTCTCTTTTCAGCAAATATTGCTAAAGAGTTCATGATCAACTGTACTGATATGTTACCGCAAATTGCTCTTTTGCTTCAAAATCGGGGTTGGCGACGCGTAACCGACCGGACATTTTCGGCCTTTAAAGTCTCATATTATTAAATATAATAATAATTCATCATATTTTTTAGCATGGATAGGTTCAGGGACATCATTCCTATTGATTAATTAATTTGGTTTTCAATCGTTTTGCCCTATGTCGTTCATAACCCACGGCGACACGGCGACCATTCCTATTATCGTGAAATCACCCATAAAAGCAGCAAAATCTTAATTTTGAAATTTTTTTGGAAAAAAAAAAAAAAAATACCATGAGTCTAATTAATTTCGAGGTTTTTATATAACTCGCGGACTTGAACCGCGCCAAGCAGAAAGAAACCAAGCCACATCAGCCATTGCCAAATTTAACAATTAGACAATTGAATGTTTTTTTACAAGAGAACGTTTTTTACGGATTCGCTTGAAAATTTTGAAATTTGCACAAAAATTCGCACTACCGTTTTCGTGTAGACAATGAAATTGCCCTGTTAAATTTGTCACTAGCTGATGTGGCTTGGTTCCTTTCAGCTTAACGCGGTCCAATACTGCCGTGCTTGGGAAAAACGCCGTATGAGCCTTCAGACGTTGCCAAATTACATCTAGAAAATCACGAATTTTCGAGAAAATTTGTGAATATTTTTTCCCCAATTTTTAAGATAATTTTGTTCGCAATTTCACCTAAAGTCCTTGAAAATTTCAAGGCAAAATATTCCTAATTTTCCTCAAAAATAAACATTTTATCGAAGGAAATGTGGCAACTCTCGAATTCTCATACGGGGTTTTTCCTTAACACGGCAGAGTAATAATTGCGGGTTGCATTACGCAGCGGAAGCTGCCCCTGAAAAATCTTGAAATTAATAAAGTTTGATTTGAACAACACCATATTTAATTTTAGTTTTGAAGTATGACCAAGGTGATGTAATGATCGTTTTTTATTAATTTACTTAGGACCTTTCAGCATTTGAAAGCAGCATTTTGAAGATGGCGAAATGCTAGAAGGTCCTAAGTAAATTAATAAAAAACGATCATTACATCACCTTGGTTATACTTCAAAACTAAAATCTTGAAATGTCATATCGTGTCTCATTTTGCAATGAACAGCGGCCACTTCGATTGCAAATTGGCAACACCGGAGGCCGCTTCGTCGCACAGGTGTCATCCTCAATATCTGCCGTGACCACGGCCGCGGCGCGAAGGGGGGGGGGGAGGCGAGATAGCGAGAAGAGCGTGGAGTAGCATCTCCCTCCCTCCCACCGGCGCGGCGGCCGTTTTCCTATTGTGTATATTTTTACCCGGCCGTCAGTCAGCTGAGCGGTCTGTCGCGTTCGAACCTTCTCCGCACGCTCTTCACCTATTTCGCTTTCGATAATGTGCTCTCACCCTCGTGGTTTCTCGCGGTGCTGTGTTTACGCCATCCGAAATGCCCCAAACGTGCTGTGATCTCGGAAAATCAGTGAATTTTTCAGTGTAATTAACAGTGCACCTTCGTCTTTCTCCACCGCTTTTGAATCCCTTTTTTGTTTACTTTCTGTGATAACGTCAAGATGACCATGACGGCCAAGCACATGGATGATTCCACCACCAGCAAAGAGAACCTCCTCACACCTAAAGGTATTTCCGAAATTTCATCTCCTCCTCATCTTCATTTCAGTAATATCTCCTCATTTTCTCCTGAAAATCCCCCGAAAATATCTCGCGCACAAGGTGCGAACGTTATGTTCGGTATGAGGTTATGTTAAAATTCGTGAATCTTATCATCTTATCAATTCGTCGAAATCTGCACACGAAACTTCGTTAGGTAGTAATTCCATTTAGTCCTGTGATTTATCTACCGGGATCGAAACCGAAAGTAACAGTGTCTTGTCTCACTGCACTGCAGGTCTAGATCTGTGGGGTATGGTGCTGACTGCTGAGCATTTCTGAGAAAAAGGAGGGTGCAGCCATACATCACTGAGAGTCAGGAATTTCTAAGGCACTAGTTGGAGGTTGATAAAAGGCATGACACAGTCCCTTTCCCTTGAGTTGACTGCCAGACATTAATTTTTGAAAATGTCTTTTTTTAGCATTTCCTGCTTGCAGGTTGATAAGGTGCATTCTGGCAGCAGTGGGCCAGTTGAGTGAGAGATACCTGGATCCTAACTATGAATGGTTGTAGGGTAGAAGGATGGTCAATTATTTTAGAAATAGACATGCAGGAGAAGGGGGGGGATGTATCACTCAAATAAGTTGGGGATCGTAAGAGAGGTTCTAGAGGACCCAGCAGACAGATTAACAGATTAATCGTCTAAGCAATTGAAGATCTGGAAGAACCCGTATCTCCTTATTGCACATTTTTGTGCTAAAACTTATCTCTCACTTAACTACCGTAATACTTGTGGCATTAATCCTCATCAGTTTGATAATCTAAGCTTACAACAATGTAGTGTACCTCAAGCACTTACTTTGTACTCACGGAGGAAAGCATGGCACATGGTTTAATTTTTTTCCTATTACGCACAGTCATTGTAGTACATAGTCTTTTTACTAATATGAATGAGTAGAGATTATGAACTTTTTTCATCCTTTATCTAAGTAAATATTCTCCACTTAATTCTCACTGATTTAAATTATGCAGCATGTGCAGAAGAGGTTTATTTTAATTTTGGAGCTGTCATCAAAGAATCCCTTCTCATAGTGAGACCTTTGAAGTTGAAGTAGTGGGTTCTTATCTCAACATTTACATTTTATCTAAACCCTCCCTCCCCATTTCTTACACGGGCGAGCACTTATCAGTGCGTCATGAAAATTGTATTAATTTTTGCATGAGAATTCCCCAAAATTGTTTTTAAAAAAACGTGCTCGCGTATAGGTAATCCGCGATCACCAACACAAAGAAACGTAACTACAGCTCAACGTTGCCAAATTGTCACTCGTAAATTTTCAATTTTTATTGAAAAAATGTTGGACTGCTCGGACCAAAAATTGACTAACTTTTCTTTCGATTTAAAGCTAAAATCAGTAAAATTTGGAAAGAAATTGAAAGTCATACATCATCCTGTAGGTAAAAAATCGAATGATTGCATTCGAGAGCTGCCAAATTCCCTCCCATAAAACGTTCATTTATGAGGAAAATTATGAAAAATTACCAGGAGAATCTTAGAAATTTCTAACTGAAAACTTCGGTGATTTTTCTTCTGACCTCATGAAAAAATCATCCAAGTTTTCTACAAAAATTCCGCATTTTTTCCCGCAAATTTCCGCAAATGTTCCATAAAAATTCATTTCCTGGTTCTCTTGAAATTTTCAGATAGTTTAGATCTGACTGTAAATGAAATTCTCTGAAAAGGAGAAAAAATCTGAACACGTTTCCCGGGAAAATCTATTTTATCCAAGGGAACTTGGCAACGTCTGAAGACGCATACGTCGTTTTTCTTCAGGACAGCAGTATTGTCATCCCAGGCGAAAGTTTTGTGAAGTTTAATCAAACCCTACTTTGCTTTGTTCCTATACTACCCGAATTAATCAGTGAAGATCGAAAGAAGAAGTGGAGAGAACCTCAACGACCCTTGAACTTTTCTCATTTTCAGTTGATGCTTGGGATTTTTTTCTGTATTGGTTTGCTTGTAACTCCTTAGCTCTCGACATCCACGCGTCCATCGATCGTGTTATTTTTGCTCTTATCAGATCCTTGAAAATGCCTTATCGTCCGCTTGTTAAGGTGATTCGATGGACGCCATATTTTGTGTCAGAACGGCATGCGATATATCGCATCAATTGGTTCCATATTTTCAGCTACTCGTCATTTTTCTCCTATTTTGAGATCGCAATTCTGTTGTAAGGAGTCTAAAGCACTCACTTACCAATTTTAGCAGAGAAATTCAACGTAATAAAGGCGTGGTTTTTTCAGAGAGAAAATATCGCATTCGAGTGCAGTTTCGATATCAGTATCGAATGCGATGTTTTCTCTCTGAAAAAACCACGCCTTTATTAAGTTGAATTTCTTTGTTAAAATTGGTAAGTGAGTGCTTTAGACTCCTGACAACAGAAGTGCGATCTCAAAATAGGAGAAAAATGACGAGTAGCTGAAAATATGGAACCAATTGATGCGATATATCGCATGCCGTTCTGACACAAAATATGGCGTCCATCGAATCACCTTAACTCCATTTCGGTGGCAAAATCAGGAAACTCGTACCTCGATTGCGGTGACTGTAAAAATGTGATCGTTCACGGGGAAATAATCGGTGGCAAAATTCGTCGTCTCCCACGCGAAAGCACGTAACTCCATTCCAAGGTTGTTAAATTGATTCAAACAATTTAATGTTTAACGAGAATGTCCTGGCGGAATTTTTTGTAGAAAATTTGGATGGTTTTTTCATGGAGGCCAGAAGAAAAATCACCGAAATTTTCAGTTAGAAATTTCCAAGATTCTCCTGGTAAAATCTGCGCGGGGAAAGGCTGAAATGGATTGCATTTTGCAAAAAGGAACCAGGAGTATTGCAATGTTGCTAAGATTGAGCAACTTCTTTGGTCTTGGAAGAAAAACCTGATCATCCATTAACAGTCTCTATTTTACTCGCCAAAAACTGTAAATTTAAGACAAAAATTACCCTATAAATTTCATATTTTTTCATGGTTTCAGTAATTTCACTGCCAAGGATGAAAATGCACAATCTTAGCATCATTGCAATTCTTCTGGTTCCTTTTTGCAAAATGCAATCAAAATATAGTTACGTTCTTTCGTGAGGAAAACAAATTTTCTAGTGGAACAATTTACTTATACCTAGCTGGGTATTGTCGAATTTTGATCCTAGGTATGAATTGGATTGCATTTTGCAAAAAGGAACCACTAGCATTGCAATGATGCTAAAGTTGTGCAACTTCATCTTTTGCAATAAAATTGCGGAAATCGTGAAAAACTATGAAATTTAGATGGTAATTTTTGTCTTAAATTTACAGTTTTCAGCGAGTAAAATAGAAACTATGAATGAATAATCGGGTTTTCCCTGCAAGACAAAAGAAGTTGCACAATCTTAGCAACATTGCAATGCTAGTGGTTCCTTTTTGCAAAATGCAATCCAATTAGTATTCCGCGTCCAATACCTCATCATCAAAATGTGAGCGATAGAGAAATCTACCTCCTAGCGGAATGTAATTCACGCACTGGAAAGTTCGAAATGTAACTTCGAAGCGTAAGATTAGCTCGTATAAGTTGTTAACTCAACACCGATCAAATAAAGCACGACTCTTATGATTGAGTCATTTGTATATTTGCCATTTTTCCTATTGGAATTACTCATGAATACGTATATCCTCCCCAGGAGTTGATTTCCAAACTCTCTGACGTGTGAAGCATTTCCCACGAAAAGTTTTAGACATGAAACTTTTAAAATAGTGATTCAGTTCGGTTTTTGTCCTGTGTCTCATGAGTTTAGACGTTTCGACGGAAAACTCTCAAGTTTCTAAACAAATAAGTTGAAAGCTGTCTATGTAATTTTTAGAGGGCGCAAAGTAGTATTACGACCCAGCACGTTTGTGCCCTGAACTCACAGCTTCTTTTTAGAAACTGAAAGATCCTACCCTTTGAAACAGCGTCTTTTGAACTGCGAATTTCAACTCGCCGTAACATTTGTGAGTAATATTTGTGAGCCGTAACATTTGTTTGAGTTAACATTTTGTGGGTGGCTTTTGTCCCGAAATGCTCGTCGGACACTTCACTAGACTCTGGACAGTAACTTTGAGTTCAATTTTTCCGGACGAAGGTCCTTTTCCCGGAACAGTCACAGCTGCCCGTTTGCATTCTATTTTATTTTTTTTTATACGAGAAAATCAAAGGACAGTTATTAAACTTAGGACGAAAGTTCTTAAATCAGTAAAGAAAAATCTGATCGGACAGTCCTCAGAGGAAAGGTACGAAAGCAAATTTTTCTGGAGGAATAACAGCATTACTTAATAATGCTAAGTTTAAAGTCTTCAACTCAAATATGAACATTAAACGCCAATCTCTCTCTTATTTGTTGATTTCTGGGTATTTTTAGTATGTTTGACATGTTTCGCATCAAGTTTCGATGAGAAAACATGTCCTGTGGTGCTTTAATTCGCTCTCTGTTTGTTGTCTAGTTGTCCATTATTAAAAATCCGTCAGTTGCCCCTTGGCAACTCCGGAGTCGATCTCATCTCCGCATAGAAGAGCGTAATAATTATTTACACTGTCGTATTAAGGAAGAACGCCGTAAGAGACCTCAGATGTTTTCGAATTTCCATCGATACAATCTAAATTTCCTGGAAAACTTGCGAATTTTTCTTTCCATTTCTCAGAGCAGTTTTTTTCGCAGTTCAATCGAAAGTATCTGATAATTTCGATGAAAAATATTACTTAGTAACATTCCTGAAGAATAAACATTTTACCGAGAGATATTCAGCAAAATTCGAATGAAAATTCGGCAGTAGCGAGGGGTGAATGATCGATTATCGATATTTCCCCATTCGAAACTGTGGTAAAGAATCAATTATTAAGGCGTCAGTTTCAAACATCCTGTTAATCGATCCTTTTCCATAGGTTTAAATGGTAGATCAATCGATACATCGCAATCCACGCCACGCCACTGACATTCGAGTTTTAAGTACATTGG